ATAGTATGTGCCAACATAGACCGGACTTGGTAGTTTACAGTGTCAGCTAAAGGGAAGGAGTTTTAGAGTGAGCAGGATAGAAGTGGCAGCCCTGGAGGAATATTGCTTTTGGGGAAGAAGGAGATAAATGGAGAAGGGCTAATGCCTCCTACCCAAAGCAAGTGAAGAGAAAGCAAGTAGAAAAAAAATTAAGGGTCCTACAAAATGAAGATACCCATCTCTCCTCTCATTGCCAGTTCAAAAAACTGTGCTTCCCTAAGTTGCCAAAATTTATTCTCAAACTAAAGAATGCTATCCACAAAATGAATAGGGGAAAAAAACTTAGCACCACTAGCAGAAGAAAACAAAAAATACGTGTTAAAGCATTTTAGTTTATGAAAATCCCCCCCAAATAAAAACCTTCAGAAAATAGCTGAAAAGTAGAATAGTACCAAGTAGGACAGTACCCTAGACTAAATTAAATAGTTTTCAAATGAACAAAACAACCTAGTATCCAAAAATTTAAAGAGAGAAATGGGTTTACAAAAACAAGCCCTGGCTGAGTTACTAGGTTAGAGCGTTATCTCTTACACCAGAAGGTTGCTCATACCTAGGTTGTGTATTCGATCCCCAGTTGGGGCATGTACAGGAGGCAGCCCTTCATTCATTCTCTCTCTCTCCCTCTCTGTCTGTCTCTCTCTCTCCTACCCTCTCTAAAAATCCATAAAGAAACATGTCCTTGGGTGAGGATTAAAAAATATAATAAATAAACAAGAAATGCAATGAATAGTGGTCAAAGTCAGGAAAGAAAGAAAAAGACAAAACTATGCTAGAAATAAGTAAATTATAAAGTACTTGAAAGATAATAGAATGGAATAAAAATCTAAGGGACATAAATGAAAATGAGATTTTAAATAAAGGGATCTCAGAGAAAATGATTGTAAGGGAAGGGCTAGTAAAGGAGGTGTCCAACATAAGGAGTCTGGAGAATAAAAAGAAGGTGAAACAAAACTTATAAACTATATTGCAGGAAAACTTTATGAGAATAAGAGAAATTTAAACCTACCTTTTGAAGGACCCACCATTTATCTGGACAAATTGGCCTGGAATAACCAACTCTGGGACATATTTTAGTAAACCATTAAACTTTAAGGATAAATTTGACTGACATCATACTTCTGAACATCAACATTTCAAATCATGGCAACAGAATCACAATTTCAAGAAACTCAAATGAAGAAAGTGCAGGCCAAGGATTCAATATCCAGTCGGCATTCCTTCAATAATGGTGGTGATAGAAAACCAGTTTTGAACATTGAGGAACTCTTTGAATGTTATAATCATGAGCCCATCTTTGGAGTTTATTGGAGAATGAACTCCATCCAACCAAGGAGTCACTGGGGAAACTTAAGGAAAAGGACTGTCAGCATTTGATTTATTGAGTTGTAGAATTAAGGACTAATTTAATATTGTAGAAATGAGTAAATTTTGAAAGAATGGGGACATGGGTAGAACAATAATATGAAATGTTCTATTTTCAACAAAGTACAAGGAATATCATTCTCAAAAAAGGATGAGAAAGGGAAAATATTGCAGAACAAGATCAAAGGCTGTTCAGTAGGTGGGAAACACAGTACCATCTAGAACTGGCAGTCTAGACACTACAAGCCTAAGTAAGAAAAGGGAAAAGATAAGAGGATTAAGGACAATTAAAAAAGTATAAATGGATTACAACAAAATTACTAACCTTCCTAAATGCCAAAAAAATATAAAAAACAGTAAGAAGACATTCCACACAGAGAAAGGAACATAGCAAATACTATTCAATACAGTAATTGTAGCATAAAATAGTGACTGAGGTAAAACAAAATATCAGTCATATCAACTATGAATGGGCTTAAATTGCCTATTAGAAGAAAAAAAATTCAAGTTGGCTTCTAAAAGCAAACATTACATTAAAATTTGGTTTACACAAGAATCCATTAGTGGATGCTAAATCTAGAGTGGAAAGTTTAAGGCTGAGGATTTTTGTGTGGTTTCTAAGGGTCTTCCAGATTTCTTATTAGCCACAAGTAGAAAAAATAACTATATAAGGGGGGGACTAAGAAAACCCCCAGAATTTATTTATTAAAAATTGTATATTTATTCTTACATGTTTAAACTTTAGTCACTTTCCAAGCAGTCTCCATTTGATCAATATACCTATCAAGAACAGTTTTTCCACTGCTCAAAGCAGTTTTTGAACTTGTCAGTCTTAATGCCTCTTAGTGCTTCTGCTGTTTTTGTTTCACCCCTTCCACGTGGCAAAACGGTTTTCTTCGAGGATTTTTTTTCATTGGGGAAAGTGCTCTGGGTGAAATTGGGTGAATAGGGAGGGTGGGGCATGGGGTCATGTCGTTTTTGGTCAAAAACTGCTGAACACTCAGCATGGTGTGGGCAGGTGAGCTTATAAATCACCCATATCGTGGAATGGGCAAATGTGTTAAAAGAGTTTTCAAAAAAATTTCACTGAGACCAAATGCAGCCTCTCACAACACCACCAGCTGGTGCAACTGATACAGGTGGGTTCCTAGAACACTCACCTAGCAGAAGAAGCCTGTACTACAAGGGGCCTGTCCTCCAGAAGATAATTCTGGGATTTTTTGAGGGGAGTACCCCTCATATAGTGGACAAACTGAACAAGACTCTGCATGATTAAAGTTAATAATATCACTAGTAAGGAGGATAGGGACATAATGGTCTGTAACAGTGAAGCCCTTAAAAAGACATAAAGTAGTCTAGAAAGGCACGCATGATCTGAATCTGATCATGAGGAACATCAGAGAAACCCAGATTGTGGAACAGTTTATCAAATACCTGGTCTTGCCCTGGCTGGTGTGGCTCAGTTGGTTGGAGTGTCCTGTAACCAAAAGGTTGCCAGTTCCATTCCTGGTCAGGGCACAAGCCTTCCCTGTGGATTTAATCCCTGGTCCAGTCACATAAGGAAGGCAACCAGTTGATGCTTCTCTCTCTCATTGATGTTTCTCTTCCTTCCTGTCTTTCTAAAAGCAATGAAAAAATGTCCTCAGGTGAGGATTTTTTTTAAAAAGATTATAATATCTGGCCTCTGCAAAAAAGAAAAAGTTAATGTCATGAAAGAAAGGCTTTGGTTGAAGAGGCAGCCAGCCAAATGCAGTCTGTGATTCTGGATTCCATTCTGTACTGAAAGGGGAGAAATACTATTAACGACATTATTAGGATAATTGACAGAATTGGAATATGGATGGAAAAAAGCACTTTAAATTTTTCTGAGCTTGGTAACTCTACTGTGTAAGAATATTCTTGTTCTTAAAATGTTACATTGAAATTTTAAGGGGAAAGCATGATGTGTGAACCTACTCTCAAATGGTTGGGAAAAATACATAATGTGTATGTAGGTGGGATAATGATAAAGCAAAGGTGGCAAACTGTTAAAGCTTGGTGAGTCCGAGTAAATGGTTAAAGGGAATTTTCTGTTCTTTAAATTTCTCTGAGTTTAAAAAAAGGAAAAAGAAAAGATCTGGGTATAAACTATAAGCCAGAGACCAATACACACACACACCTTAGTTTAGTAAGGTGGAATTCGAGTTAGATAATTTTTCAGTATCCCTCTTGTCCTTCCTGCCCCCCTCTTTACTCCTTCCCTCATTGTTTTAGATATTGAGTGTTTTACCAATTCAAATTATCTCTATTTGAAAAATTATGAATTTGATGGTGTTCTGTGTTAAGCTATATGTATGTGTGATTTCTATGAAAGCTTCTTTTACTCTGTTGTTTTTACAGCACTTGCCTTTTTATGCTTAAAATATGCTTTAGAGAGAAAAAAATATTTTCTAAATGTGTTCTTTCCTATGACTTCCAGTAAAATGCTTGGTCATGTGGAAACTCCCCCAGCCAGTTGATCCCCCCGCCTTGGTCTTCCTTGTGTTTTGAGAACAAATAAGAGATGGATGATGCTAGAAACCTTTTTAATATCTTTTCATATCTTTGATCTTATTTCAGAATGAGTTATATCAAACAATATGTGGGTAGTAGTTCTAAAAACTTTGCCAGCTCTTTTACAACTAAGTCCGTTTTGCCAGATCAAGTTCCCTTTATCTGTGTTTTGAGGAACAACTGAAATACTTGAAAATACTTTGTCTTAATGATTCCATGTTTCCTTATATGTAATAAATATGTATTGCCAGTATTTCTGCTTAGACCATGTGAAGGGAGAACATCAAATGCAGTTTGACATTATGCAGCCTTATATATTGTATTAACTATAATTCATTTTTATTGTGAAAAATTACTGATTAAAAATTAATTTTATGTCCACCGATTCTTTAGCAGTGTTCATACTAAGTTTCTTGCTTCTGTCTTAAGGCTATATGGAGAAAAGAGAACAACATGGTACACAGATGAATAGTCCAGGAATTCTCATTATGCATTTTCAAATGCAGCAGTATCTGACATGCAGTGAGAAGAGTGCAGTGTCTTTCAACCTTTATACTAGTGCAGTGGTGGATTACTGATTGATTCTAAATATAGTGATTAAGGATGATTATTAGATTTTTAAGTATATGGATAGTGTAAATTCTTTAGAGTTCTGTGTTATTTACTGTACAGTTTAAAAATATCTCCTTTTACAAGAAGATTGAAATGGTATGTGTAACTGCTTTTCTAAGAAGCATGGGATTACTTTTTAACCTAAAGACTAAGGATTTTTATTAGGTTATTTAGGCAAACACCATAATGTAAAATTAACAAAAATTAGGTAGAAATGACTATGATGTACAATAATAGCAGGAAAGGCAGGGCTCATACAGAATGGAATAATTATATTTTTGCTCAGTTTTTATAATATTTTGTTGATTCTATTTTTTCTTTTTGCATTTTGAGTTGCTAATTTTTAGCCATTGTTTATAAGTATTTTGATAATTGCATTGTTTTCATATTAAGGACTTTGTCATTAATATTATAACATTATTAAATAATTATGAAATAATTTTTTTTCTAATTAGGAAGAAGCATTGCATGCATTTATTCAGCCAGAGATCCTTGATGGCCCAAATCAATATTTTTGTGAACGTTGTAAGAAGAAGTGTGATGCAAGAAAGGTAGATGCCATGTAGAAATTAATACTAAATTACTGAGGTAATAGTCAGTATTTAATAGGTCCCCCTCTTTTTTTTAGGGTCTTCGGTTTTTGCATTTCCCTTATCTGCTGACCTTACAATTGAAAAGGTTTGATTTTGATTATACAACCATGCACAGGATTAAACTGAATGATCGGATGACATTTCCTGAAGAGCTAGATATGAGTACATTTATTGATGTTGAAGATGAGGTAAATATTTATTATATTTTTTGTTATAAGATTTTTTGTTAGTCCATTTGTTTAGTCATGTTTAAAAGAACTATGTGGAGTAGCTTAACACTGATGTTTGGACTATTTATTTACTTTATTTTTTTCCCTTACCATTTATCCCCCCATACCCTCTTCTACCTCTACCCACTAGACTATTTTCTTGCTGGAAGCTTAGCTTTTCTTATTTTCTAGTGCCAAGTTCTGTAAAAACAACTGACTCCATATAAGCTTTCTCTGTCCATCATAAATTGTATTTCAAATAGTCTTGCTTGATCAAAGTCACTTATGATGTTTTTTGAAAAGATAAAGAAGTCCTAAAAACTCTGGGAATATTTCTTTAGTTTGAGATGTAATCTTATGTTTCATGCTTTGTCAATATTGAAATAAACCAATCTAGAGGGAGGCTGCGCTTGTACATTAAAAAGCAGAGAACAAATATATATGAGTGAATGGACAAGCAAACTGGGTAGAATAGCCGTAATTCCTTATATTTGTCTCAGTGTCTTTTTCAAGGATTAAGGTTTCTGGGTTATTCTCCCTTAAGGTTTGCCTTCTCATATTGGCTAGATTAGAACGCTAAGAAAGAAAGGTATTTTGTCTGTTTTCTTTTTGTAATTAGTTTCTTTAAATTAAAACCTTATTTAAATAGTTTGAGAATGTTACTTTGTACTACACGGGTGTAATGCTCATCAGTTTTTTCCACTCACTGACCTGCTCGAATTCTCTGATTGATTTCTCTCTCTTTATCCAGTAAAAGGTTCATAATGTTCCACTATATCCTTTTGGAAACTCTTAATATTTCATTATGGGAAATATTTACAATTACTTAACACAGTTGTTAGAGTGATAAATCTTTAGAATTCGCAAACTGTCATGAAACATTTTTTCCTGATTGGAACTTATTACTATAGTATAAAAATGCTTTTTCCCCGAAGCTCAGAAAATAATTTTAAACATTCATCAAATTTTATTTAGTGCTGCTGAATGCTAAGAGACAATATGGTATAAAGAGCAACCTTTCTGAGCCTCCTTTTCTTGTCTGTAAAGTAAGGATAATAATTGGCTTTTTATGGCTTTTATGAGAAGAGAGTGCTTTAGATCAAGTAGGTGTTCATTGAAGGATACCTATGACCAGGTAATACTTTGAAAGGTTTAGTTTAAAATGACATCCCAGATGATTGTGCTTTAAGCTAGGAAATCCACCCAAAGTATACCAAACTTTCAAAGGTGACGTAATCATTGTATGATTCCTTCTCAGAGATCATTATTACTTCAGTCTTCTGTATGTTCCTAATATTTTGGGTTGGCCAAAAAGTTTGCTTGTTTTTTTCTGTAAGATGTCTCTAGAAGCACTTAGCTATTTTTAACCTCATTCAAAACAATTTTGATAGATTGTATTGACAGCTGTCATATCAGCATGCATTTAAAAAAACTTAAAGTTAGCAAATTTTTGTTTAGCCATTTTAATATTGAAGATGAAGGAAAATAAGCAACATTTTCACTGTACGATGCTTTATTATTACAACAAAGGTAAAAACGCAACTGAAACAAAAAAGATTTGTGCAGTGTATGAAGAAGATGCTGTGACTGATCCAACGTCTCAAAAGTGGTCTGCCAAGTTTCGTACTGGAGATTTCTCACTGGACGATGCTCCACAGTTGGGTCTACCAGTTGAAGTTGATAGTGATCAAATTGAGACATTGATTGAGAACAGTCAATGTTCTCCAACATGGGAAATAGCCAACATACTCAAAATATCCAAATCAATAGAGTTATTGGTGAAAATGAAAAATGTGTCTTATTTTACAGAAAAAAAACTCAGTGGACTTTTTAACCAAGCCAATATTTCTTGTAAAGGGAAATCTTTTTCAAGGGATGAAAACCTAGATATAAAGTTTGACAGGAACTTTTAGGAAGTTCTAAATTCATTTCTTGGGAGAGGAAAAGAGAAGGTGCTCTGGCTTAGTTAAAGGAGTTTTGGGAATGATCTCTTTGGACTTAGTGTGGAGTTCTAAAGTTGCTTTTTACCTCCATTTTTCCTTGAACCAACTAAAGGGATGAAGACCATGTCAGATGCAGTCCCTACAGCAAAGTTCTTGGCAAAAAAATTGATGCTTCTTTTATATTAGTTGGTTAATTCAAGAACTTCTATGCCATGCCTTAGATGAGAATTCTTAAATTATTTAAATAAAAACATTTTAGATATATATAAAACATTAAACAAAAAGGAGGAAAGAAGTCTTAGAAGTAGATTTCTTCCATTTAAATATGTATGGCAGGAATTTAAAAACCATAAAAGCATGAAAAAGTATGATTTACTGTTATATTTCCACCTCCTACATACTAGAGTATAAAATTATTGAGGATAGATACATCTTGTTTTTCTAATTGTCTGTAATACCTAGCATAATGATAAACTGAATATAATACCAATAAACTGAATAATATAATACCTTGATATAATACCTAGCATAATGATAAAATATGATCTTTGGGGATTTGGGAACAAAAGCAGCTCATTTTGGAGCTTTGGTTCTCTGCTTTTTTTCATTTTGGTGAAAGAAATACTTTTTATTGTTACTTTGCAACTATAAACGTAAGTATGGTTTAATAGAATTCTGAATCACTGATTTGGTGTATTAGAATTTTAAGGAATTAATATAAATGTTTTTAAAATACACTCTTGTTTTATTTTTTTAGAGTCTTTTAGAGAAAAACTAAATTCACTTAACATATTTTATTAACAATAACATCTTAAATTATGTGAAAAGCAGCATATAGATAAAGAGTTTACTTGAGTATATATTTTTCCTGTGTTTAGTTTGTAATTGTGAAATATTTATGTTTTATTAAGAAATCCCCTCAGACTGAAAGTTGCACCGACAGTGGAGCAGAAAACGAAGGCAGTTGTCACAGCGATCAGATGAGCAATGATTTCTCCAATGATGATGGTGTTGATGAAGGCATCTGCCTTGAGAGCAACAGTGGAACTGAAAAGATTTCAAAACCTGGTCTTGAAAAGGTAGCCGTTACAGTGTGTGGTGTTTAGTTGAAAGAGAGAATAATGTATCTCTGGGCTAGTGTATACAATTATGTAGCTGTGTGACTGATAAAGTTCTTTTTAAAAGGAGTTTAATTTTTGAAAATTAAGACTTTTTAAGACATTCTTTTTTATGCATTTATGCGATTATAATTAAACTTAGGAGAAACTACTTACAGGTGGGAGCATTAATTTTTGGGAGGCTGAACTGCGATTATGTAGGCAAGGTGGGTGATGGTGTGGAAAGGGCCCTAGTAATCAGGACTTTGGCCCCTAAAGTTGCAGCAAGCCTCTACAACTCAGATATCTCGTATCTTAGAGTTTTCTCATACAGCAAAATAAAACATTAGATCTTTTGATTTTTAAAATTCTGCCTGTGGAATCCTTTATGAAATAGTTAATAATAGAACTGATTTTTTAATTTTTTGTTTGTTTGTTTATGTCCCGCCACACTGTGGTGAGGTGGTTCCTTCCCCCTGTCCGTGATTATAAAGCTTCTCTCCAGCTAGTGTTCAGTTGGTTATTCAGGATGATTTCTCTACAATTAATTGTAATTCCAGATTGGTCCTGGGAGGAGGTTAGTGTAGTTTCCACCTACTCCTCCGCCATCTTGGGTCTCACTCAGAACTGATCTTTTCAAGGCAGGGGAAAGACAAAGCCCTCAGTCCACTTCCTCCTCCCCCGGCCCCCAGCCCCATGACAGCCCTAAGGCACTTAAAAATGTTATAGTTCCATGAATTATAATTTTAAAACTACAAAGCTGGATAATCTCCAAGATAGAACATTTTTTTGTCACTGTGTCAATGATTTTTAACATTTTATCAAACCATTTCTTCCACATTCATATAATCTGCTTTAATGAAGTGAGAATTACAGAGCAGATATCTTGAACACAGTGTGGATGTGAGTCACTAGCATGAAAACTGATCACTAGCTCAATCTTAGAGTCATATTACATATACAGGTTTTTTTGGCAATATTTGAGAATGGGGTTTTCAAGTACATAAATCTATTTTTAGCCCAAGACCAAAATTACCTATTTCTTTCAGGGCGGATAGATGAGTGTGAATTGCTATGAAATGAATAATGTGGGGATACATTATAACTTAGTATAAGGAACGTTACATTCAAGGAAGGGGTTGGCACACTGACTTAAGAGCAAAATCCAACCCTGTGCCTGGTTTTCTGCATAGACAATTACAGTTTTTTTCCATTGGCTTATTAAAGTAGGTACGTCTTCCCTTACAACGTTGAGTAATATAGTGAGAGAGGATATTCTAGCACTGTTCCGAGGCTCACGAGCAGTGTGTTCAGTCTCTCATCTTTGATTATGATGTTTGTTATAGGTGTCTTATGGATGTTCTTTATCAAGTTGAGAAAGTTTCCTTATTCTCAATTTGTAGATAGTTTTTATCACAAATGAGTACTGGATTTTGTGAAATACTGTTTCTGGGTCAGTTGATATGATCATGTAATTTTCCTTCTTCAGTCTGCATTCCATAGATCAGTGAGTTTCAGCTAGTGTGCCATGGTGCACTGAAGTGCCACAAGAATTTTTAAAACGTGCAATACCTGATTATTTAGCCAGGGGCACTGATTTCTTTTCCCTGAGATTGTCAAATAAAAAATGACAACGGCTTAAACAATAGCCGTCTGGTGTGAATGGATCAAAATTATACCTTTTTTTGTCAGATTGACAAAAAACATATTTTTTGGTGTGCCACAGAATTTTAGTAATTAGTTTATGTGTGCCATGAGATGAAAAGGTTGAAAATTGCTTGCATAGATTGCTTTTCTAATGTTGACCCAGCTTTGCATACCTGAAATGTCACATCAGTAAATCACTGTATCACAGATATTACATAAATACATTAGATGCTGCAAATTATTCTATCCCTCATCTCCTTTGTAAATGAAGTATAATTTTATTTGAATCAAAAACAGTTATTTGGGATTTATTGATCTTGACCATTCATATTAGATTAGCCTTATATTTGACACATGCTTCTCAAATTTTAGACTATTACTTTCTTTTTTTACATCAATAAGTAAATTATTTTTCAGATGTGCATAGTTCCAGAGGATGTAGCATAATTAAAATGTGAAGGGATACAGTGAATAAAACTTGTGAAACTTGCAGTATATACATTTACGTGGTGACTTGCCATTTTAATTATCTTTGAGGAGGGTTAATCTACAATAAATATATAGGATAACTAACATGTTACTTTACTATGTATTAATAAAGACTAGGAAATATACAAATAAAGGATTTTGTGTTTTTCCTCTTCTTGAGCTACCTTTATTTTTTTCCCTTAGAATTCCTTGATCTATGAGCTCTTCTCTGTTATGGTTCATTCGGGGAGCGCTGCTGGTGGTCATTATTATGCTTGTATAAAGTCATTCAGTGACGATCAGTGGTACAGCTTCAATGATCAACATGTCAGCAGGGTAAGGAGGGGATTTTAAAGATTATTATTCTAAAAGACAAGATCGGGATGTTTCTGTCAATATCAGGGTTTATTGAAATGGGAGACTGAATATGACCAGTGAAGCATTTTAAAACACATACCAAATCAGACTTTTTGTTCTTACTTTTAGTAAATTTCCTGCTTTGTTTATTGATGTTATTTCTTGGTTTTGTTTTGTTTGGGGCTCGCTGAGTGTTTCCAGAGATAGACTCCCAATTTTCTTCTTGTCCTGAGCCTTCATATGGCCATTTAGAAGCCTTAGAACTGATTGGCCACTAGCAGCCACTGATTATGGTTAAATTTTGTGAATTGGTATCTGTATGGTCCATTTAACTGAGGTTAAAAATTGGGCTACATATAGCCATAAAGGTAACGGTGTTACAGATTTTACCAAAAAGTAAATAATGTACCAACTTTTCAGATAACACAAGAAGACATTAAGAAAACACATGGTGGATCTTCAGGAAGCAGAGGGTATTACTCCAGTGCTTTTGCAAGGTAAATAACTTCATAATTTCCAGTGTTTATAAATTAATGCTAGGTTCTCAGCATTTTTTACCATTAAAAAGGTTTAACCTAGAGGTTGGCAAACTGTAACCCATAGGTCAAGTCGAGCCTACTTCTAGTTTTGGGAAATAAAGTTTTATTGAAACACCAGCATACTCATTTGTTTAAATGTATGCTGATCTTATTGCACTACAACAGCAGAGTTAGGTAATTGCAGCCCAGATCATACTTTTACTATCTGATCCTTTCCAGAAAAAATTTGTTGAGTCCTTACTTAACTATAGTAATCATTCTAGGACACAGGTTGTTTTGAAAACTATACTGTTACCAAGAGGTGGTATGGAATCTTCTCATAAATGTATCAGTAAAAGCAAAGTAGATTTTTTTCTTAGAATGTTTTAAATGTGAACCTCTTTGAGAACAGTTTCATGATTTTCTAATTGTTTAAAACAAAAAATATTTTAAATAAATATTTGATGCTAGGTAATGGAATCTTCCCAATCTACTTTTTGTCCCCATTAATCATATTTGTACTTCCACCAGCTCCACGAATGCATATATGCTGATATATAGACTGAAGGATCCAGCAAGAAATGCAAGTATGTTAACATATAGTAATTTGATTTTAATCTGTAGTATAAACTAATTTCTTTTGCAAGTTTTGCCAACCCAGGTAACCACTTTTGACTGATAGGATAATTAAGTTTTTTTATGCATGGAAGAATTAATTATAAAAACTGTTAAGAGAATACCAACTGGTAAAAATCCTTGGGATAAAATGAGCTATTTTCTAATACATTAAGAGACAGAACTTACTCTACATTGAATAAACCAGATCCTTATTTGCAGTAAGATTGTACTGTGTGTAGTTTAGTGATGATAACCTCCAGGCCTGTGTAGCAGTCAGAACTCACCAGGTGCATGTCCCAGACCCAGTTATTTAACTTCTCTAAGTCTTAACTTTACATGTCTGTGAAGTAGGAATACTTAGTGTTTTATAGCGTTGTTTTAAAAAATTAAATGAGGTAACATTTTAAGCATTTAGCATCATGTCTGGTACATAGTAAAAACTCAAATTTAGCTATTACTGTTTTTCTCTGTTATACTCTTTTTGGGTATTTAGAATCTAAATGTTTTGAAATGGGGACCACAGATGGAATAAAATTCCCAGTTAGCACTTAAAAGTTCTTAGGAGCTAGAGTTATAAATACCTTTGCTGTTTGCTTAAAAAGCAAGTAAGGTTTTACAAGTCTAGTATGCCTCCTTTACTATGTCTTAATTTTATTAAGAATTCCCCCCAAATAATCTTGTATACAAAGCATGTGAGATTGTCTTTTTTTTTGTAATTATTTTAAAAATTGCAGTTCCTGACTAAAGCTAACTTGCTAACTCTGACTAAAGCAGTATTGCAAATAGAGGTGTGCGTTTGTGCATGTACATAGTTATAAACACAGATGGTGTTTACTTATATTCTTCTCATAATTAAAATAATATTTTCACTGTCACTGATTTTAACATGTTCTTTATTTAGAAACTACCATGCTATGAGTAAATCTATTTCAAGCAGTGTGTTTTATTTACATTTTTGTAAACTCCATCAGATTGTGAATTCACTTGGTGCAAGACTTAGGACTTACTCATCTTTTCACCAAAAGTATAGTTCAGGGTCTGTCATATAGTGGTTTATCAATAATTTACTATAGAATTAATGAAGAGAAAGGCAATTATAATAAGTCATTTTAGAACAAAGATTTTAGAGTAGGAGTAGCCATTTGATATAACCCAAAAAGTAACTCATCCACTGTCATAGCTACCCAGAGGCAGAGCCAGGATTATAGTTCACGTGTCCTCTTTAGCACCCAGCATTCCAGATTATTTCCAGTAGAACAAAAACTCAGCTTTCTTTTTATTCGCTGTCCTGGCTGTAGGTTTGTGCTGAAGCACCAGAGGGCGCTCTATGTATGACATGGAATATTTTTAGAATTAGAGTGCGCTTCTAAGAAAAGTAGATTTTTACCTTTCACAGAGGCATGATTTTTAAATGTATTTTAAATTTATATTAAGTTCTCACTTAATAATAATCATTGGCTTTATTAAATGGTAACAAAATCTCATAATGTCACTTTTAGTACTTTGAGTTCCATATGAAATTCTTTTATTAGAAGGCAGCTTAAAGACTGCTTTGAGAACAAAGACAGGATAATTATATTAGGGAATAATAAATAAGTAGCATTTGTAGTAGTAGCAATAGCAACAGCATTTATTACATTTTATTATACCCTGGGTAATAACTGGTGGGGTAGGTGCTGGTAATAAGATGAAGAAACCATAGTCTGGAGAAGTAAAACTGGTCCATGGTCACATAATTTTATGGTGGTAATGCAATTTGAAGTCAGAAATTGTTTTATTTCCAAGTTTCAGAGAAATGTTTTTATTCTAAAAATAGTAATCTACGTAGAGTTGTCCTGGAGCCAGGAGCTATTATGGGTAAATATATGTCTTTTAAAAATATGAGACCTAATCATGTATTATTATTAACTACCTTTTTACCCTTGTCTGGAAGAAGCTCACGTTTCAAATCAAGAGATTTACATAATTGAGATATATTTTTTTTTAAGATTTTATTTATTTTTAGAGATGGAAGGGAGGGAGAGAGAGAGAGAGAGAGAGAGAGAGAGAGAGAGAGAGACAACAATGTGTGGTTGCTGGGGGCCATGGCCTGCAACCCAGGCATGTACCCTGACTGGGGATCGAACCTGCGACACTTTGGTTCACAGCCCGCGCTCAATCCACTGAGCTACGCCAGCCAGGGCTTTGAGATATATTTTAATGAGAACTATAGTAGAATTATGTACAATGGGAACATAGTAGAACAAAATAAAATACAGGAAGCTCAATTTCAGTAACAGTTTTACCCTGTTTTTATTATTAATAGAATTTCTAGAAGTAGATGAATATCCAGAACATATTAAAAAATTGGTGCAGAGAGAGAGAGAACTGGAAGAACAAGAAAAGAGGCAACGAGAAATCGAGCGCAACACATGCAAGGTTAGATTTCATAATTTAACTTTTAATTAAAAAGTGCTATTGAAGTCTGCTTAACTGCAGTTCTCACAGCTCACTGATGGGGTTGGCTCTGTAGGTGGTTACACAGTCATGACCACTAACCATTGTAGCCAACCACACTGCTGAGGTAAGACAGGGTTTCAGAGTATGCATTAAAGAACACTAATGTGTGGTAATGCTCAGTGCTGGTGCAGTTACAGTAAGATGAACATTGTCATACTCTGCTACAAAAAGACTAAATTAAAACTTTTCTGCATAGCTATTGAGTAGAATTTATCAAGAGCCTTACGCAAATTCATATTATTTTATATATAATTCTCTTAAGGAAATATTACCTAGTGAGATAATTATAGATGCTATAAAATTTTGACCACAGAGACATTCATCACAGTATTTTCCAAACTCAGGAAAAATTGGAAACAACCTAAATTATATTAGTAGGGGAATAATTATATAAATTATGATAAATGCTCAAAAAGAAAGATACACATGTTAAAAATGATGCTCTTAAATTTTTTAATAACATGAAATATAATCACTATCAATTATAAGTAAGAAAAAGACACCAGAGAGAATGGTTCCAATTATGTTTTTAAAACATACAGTATTTTGACTATTAGGAAAAAAATTCTGTCTGTAAAAGAATTAAGCTTCGACTTAATGACCTGCTGAGTTGATGATGATATTTTACAATTTCTAGATAAAATTGTTCTGTTTGCATCCTGTGAAACAAGTAATGATGGAAAATAAATTGGAGGTTCATAAGGATAAGACATTAAAGGAAGCAGTAGAAATGGCTTACAAGGTATGTTTAATTGCACTGTTAGCATTTAATTATTGATATCTTAGATAATGGTACTAACATGTTTTCCAAAGTTTTTTTATTATAGTCAGTAATAATATAAGCACTTGCAATAATGTTGATAGCTCATTTAAGTCATGTATCTTTTTAAAAATGTAGGTTATACCTCTTTTTTAAAACATACTAAGTTGGTTTTGAGAAATTTCTCAAAAATATTTACTTATTCTTTACATGCATCTAGTAGATACGTATTGAGTGCCTACCATATGAGACGTCGGAGGCACTAAGTGCACAGGACAACATAAGGTGTTAGAGATACCAGAGTGAGCAGGCATGCTCACTGCCCTCACAGAGTTTATAATCCATTGGGGCAAAAGACAGATAAAACATATTAAACACAAAATTTGCAAATATTTTGTTGTTTAGATGCTATAAAGTAAATCAGTAGTATATTGAGATTATTTATTCTGAAACTTTCACCATGAGAAGGAGACAACTATGCAAAAATTCAGGGAAGAATATTTTAACTAGAGGTAGCAGTGTGTATCAAGACTGAGGTGAGGGAGTGCGTAGCATGATCAAGAAAGGGAAAAAAAAGGGACATTAGGTTTTGATTGTGTTGAATGAGAATAGACAAGCATAAAATGAAATTACGGACTTTTCAATGATAGAAGTTTGCATTTTTAAGAACAATGCAAAGTCATTAGTGGGTTTTGAAAGGCAAATAGAAAGGGAAGTATTCTTTAACCAGATTATTCTAAATATTGTCTGTGATACTTGGCAAATTAAAATTTTATGTCCTTTTCTATAAACATTAATATCATTTGACTGAAATTAAGCAGTCATTACCTAGAGAAAAAATTATATACCAGACTGTTACTTACAATTGTATTAGAACCAATGTGAGAAATAGAAATAGTACACATGATAGCTGACATTGTTTCTCAAAATGTGATTCATACAACTTGCACCAGAATTGCATTCCTATTTAAAAAAAACAACAACAACTAATTCCTGCAAATAACTCTGAATTTCTGTGTTGGTGCTTGGAAATATGCATTTTAAACAATTACCTCAGGTGATTTTCAAGCACATTGAAGTTTGAGACCCACTTTTTATTAGGTGCCTGGCCCTTCATAGAAGTCAGTATTGAAAATTTATATTATGTGACTTAATGTCATCATTCCTCACTAAACTGAAAGCACTTACAAGGGTGAAGAGTGTTCTGGTTTTGCTCATGATTTCATTTTCAGTACTTTTGCCAGGCATATAGGAGAGTCAGAATTATATGGTAATGTGAGTAAGTCAGTGAACAAACAATAAAATGGGTGGATGGATGGCTCTGGATTGACCCTATTAAAGTAAAAATCCTTTAAACATACAGACATCATTTCAAGATCATAGTGAAACCAAATTAGACTAAAATGGAGAATATGGCTTTACTAAACAATTTTACACAGCAAGGTCAATGAGTGATAGCAGTAGGGTAGTTTGTATTCCATCAGTTTTTAAGGCATGAAGAAAAAAATACTGTCTTAAAAGTAGGAAGTAAAAGTTTGTGAATATAAAGAATCAAACAAACAGAACAGAGAAATAATCAACCTTATGTGCCAAAAATAGAGCTGATCTTTGGGGATGAGAGTGAGGTTGAGTAGAGGTGAGTGGGGACACACACGTTTTTCTTTGAAGTCATGAGGTGTCTGTGCTTCTCCAGGAGGTTCTTTCCAACTTAAGAGATGTTGCATCCAGGCATGCTATCTGCTAGTGACATGGGATAGAGGAAAATTTTATGATACGAATTTCTGTGCCCTGAGCTGTACGTATTCTGTAGGCTAATATTGAAGGGGATAGTCCAACGAGAAATGGGGCAGCACTTGGAAGGCAGGGAAGCTATAGATTTTATGGTAGCTTTCTGACGTGTGCTGTCCTCCTGTACTTAAAGATGGTTACTAGGTACATGAGTTATCAATTCTTCTCCAAATTGGATTAAGAAAACAAAAGATGTTTATTCTAGTTGATAGTTTTCCCCTTGATTCCAGCTTAGTAATTATAGAGAAGTAACTTACAATACATTGATTTTGAGTCCATCTAAAGTTTAGAATATTAACGTTTTAAAATACAGTTGTCTTTAAAATATCTTAGTGCATAGGTTGTATGATGGATAATGAAATGTGGTTATTTAAAAGTAGCATTTAAGTTATGTCTTTAACTTTCATGTCTTTGAGTTTCAATGCAAATTGTAAACACGGGTGTGTTTGTTAGGGCCTACTAAGAGATGCTATAAAAGAGAACTCTAAATGTGAGTGCAGTTACACATCAGGATAAAACATTCTGTATTTGTCCTTGGGGGCCATTTTCTTTTAGATGATGGATTTGGAAGAGGTAATACCCATGGATTGTTGTCGCCTTGTTAAATATGATGAGTTTCATGATTATCTTGAACGATCATATGAAGGAGAAGAAGATACACCAATGGGACTTCTACTAGGTGGAGTCAAGTCAACGTACATGTTTGATCTGCTGTTGGAGACTAGGAAACCCGACCAAGTTTTTCAGTCCTATAAACCTGGGGGTAAGGAATGTTAGTGTTTTGCATAGTAGTGCACTTAACATTTTTATAAAGTTTTTGTTTTAGAAATGCATTTAATTTTTATATGTTCTTAAAATAGTTTTGATAATATCAAGCTTGGAATTAAATTCTAGATTACTTTCAAAGAGTTATATGCAAAATTTAAAAAACAGTGTTCAGTGGGATTTTTCTTCAGTATTGAGTAATCCTTCCCCTCCCGTCCCCATTTATAAGAAGACCCTGCACCACAAAACACATATTCTGTAACTACCTATTTGTACTTTTCAATCCCCTGACCTCTTCACCCATTCTCCCACATCCCTTCCCATCTGGCAACCATCAAAATGCTCTCCATATCCATTATTCTCTCTCTGTTCTTCTTGTTTGCCTAGTTTGTTTTTTAGATTCAGTTGTTGATAGATATGTATTTGTGCCATTTTATGGTTTATAGTTTTGATTCTATTCTTAAATCCCTTTAACATTTCATATAATAATGGTTTGATCATGATGAACTTCTTTAGTTTTTTCTTGTCTGGGTAGCTCTTTATCTTTTGATTTGAAATGATACTTTTTCTGGGTAGAGCAATCTTGGCTGTATGTCTCTGCTTTTCATGACCTTGAATATTTCTTGCCAATCCATTCTTGCCTGCAAAGTTTCTTTTGAGAAATCAGCTGACAGCCCTATGGGAACTCCCCTGTAGGTAACTAACTGCTTTTAAGGCTTTTGCTGCTTTGAGATTCTCACCTTATCTTTAACCTTTAGCATTTTAATTATGATATCTTGGTGTGGGCCTCTTAGCATCCCTCTTGTTTGGGACTCTGTGCTTTCTGGTTTGCATGTTTGTGTTCCTGACCAAATTAGGGAATTTTTCTTTCATTATTTTTTCAAATAGATTTCTAATTTCTTGCTCTTTTTCTTCTTGTTCTGGCACCCCAATGATGAGAAGGTTGGATTGCTTGCATCACCTTGATGCTCCAGAGGTTGCTTACACTATCCTTGTTTTTTTGGATTCCTTTTCCTTCTTGTTGGTCTGTTTGGTTGTTTTTTGCTTCCTTGTGTTCCAAATCACTGATTTGATCCTTGGCTCCATCCACTCTACTGTTTCCCTGTAAACTGTCCTTTATTTTAATTAGTGCATCCTTTGTTTCTGACTGTATCTTTTTATGCTTTGAAGTCCTCACTAAGTTCCTGGAGCATCCTTATAACCAGTATTTTGAGCTCTGTATCTGATAAGTTGCTTATCTCCATTTTGTTTAGTTTTGTTTTTTTTTTCCAGAGTTTTGATCTATTCTTTCATTTGGGCCATGTTTCTTTTTCTCATTTTGGCAGCTGCCCTGTGTTTGTTTCTATGTGTTAGACAGAGCTGCTTTGACTCCATGTCTTAGTAGTGTGGCCTAATGTAGTAAGTGTCCTATAGGGTCCAGTGGCACAGCCTGCCCTGTCACCCAGGCTGGGTACTCGAGGTGTGTTCTTCATGTGGGCTAGGTACACCCTCTTCTTGTAGTTGCTTGATTGCTGTTGGCAGGTCAATGGGGGAATTTACCCAGGCCAGTCAGCTGCAAAGACTGGCTATGAACACTGACCACCAATCTCTGCAAAGTTTCTGTTCAGGAGCAGGGTGGTGGTGCTCCAGTGTGGTCTGTAGCTGTCTTCTGGGTGCACAGGCTCTGGGATTTCCAGGGTATTGGAGGCTAAGTTCAGCCCCCACATGTGTTTTGCCCAGTGCCACCCTGCCTGAGTTTTAAAGCAGTCTGAGATGGCTGCTACTCATGCTGGGCTTGGAGATTCCCAGGTGAAGTCAAGCTGTGAATCTAGGCTGGTTGCTACTAGGGCTGGGCCTGGGGCTCCTTAGCAAGTAGTATGGGGGTGAGGGGGGGGGGGGCTCCGGGCTCCCTGAGGCTGGTTGTTGCTTGTTTGAGAGGATTTAGGAAGTTGTGAAGCATGAAGCAAGACCAGCCATTCCTATGGAAAAGCCGCTTGCCTTTGGTGGGACAGAGCCTCGGGATCTCCAGGGCAGGGCAAACAGTGTTAGCCAGGTTGATGCAGTCTCAAATATGGCATTGGCCAGCTGGCTTTGTGGCTCTGTGCAGGAGTGTTCAGAAAAGGGATATTACTGAATGTCTCCCAGTCTGGAAGAAAGCTGCCCCAGCTTTCATTTTGATGCCAGACACTTCGCTTTCTTCCTGTACACCACTGGTACTTTTCAAGTTGCTACCCTGGTGCTGCAGTTCAGAGGGAGTGAGTCTGATTAAGTTTGTATGTGATTTCTTTAAGAGGAGCTGCTTGGGACTCTAGAAATTTCTTCCACTGACTCAATCCCTGCTGGCTTTTGCAGCCAGAAGTTATGGGGACTTATCTTCCTAGCACTGGGACCTTGAGCTGGGGGACCTGGTGTGGAGCTGGGACTCCTTGCTTCCAAGATGTCCTTCCTGAACTTTTACCGACCACATATGGATTTGGGACCAGCCTATTCCTATGTCTCTGCCCCTCCTACCAGTCTGGATGCATGTGATTTCTTGAATTCTGTAATTGTCAGACTTCCATTTAGCTCAATTTCTGACAGTTCTGAGTGATGGTTGTTCTGTATTTTAGTTGTAATTTTGATGTTTGTGTGAAGAGGCTAGCCAGTTTACCTATGCCACCATCTTAACCAAAAGTCTCAAACCATGTATTTTTAAAAATTACATTTTGACTTTTGTCATCTTTTTAAAGTGATCTAGAACTTTTTTATTAGGCTCATTTTCATATCTTTATATATGTTTGTAATGTGACAAATTATGCAAGTTACAACATGTGTTAAAGCATGTGTTACATACATCTACCATTTTAATAACTAGTAAAAAATGTTATTTTTGCCATCTATAGAAACATTAAGAATGCATTACTTATGTGCAGTACATCTTTAAAATTAACCTCCAATTACATTTTCACTGTTTTCAAATGTGACAGAAGTGATGGTGAAAGTTCACATTGTCGATCTAAAGGCAGAATCTGTAGCTGCTCCTGTCACTGTTCGTGCTTACTTAAATCAAACCGTTACAGAGTTCAAACAGCTCATTTCAAAGGTAAGTTTTAAAATTGGTCAATGAATATTTTTGAGTGCCTGCTCTGTACAAAGCGCTGTGTGATAGTTATGAGTAAGATATCAGAATCAGTATTTACTTTTAGAAGTCAGTATTTATAGCTCAAGGCAACTGTAGGTAGTCGAGAAGAACACTCTAGGAGAAGAAACAGATCAGCCAAAGTGTTGAAGTAAGAAAGTGGGAGACATGTATAAAACAGTGATGTGTTTGGCTGGATCATTGTAAACAGGCCTGGAAATATATGTTCAGTTATTTCATGGAGGCTTTTTAAATTACTTGTTTCAATTAAATTACTTTAATTACAGGCTATTCATTTACCTGCTGAAACAATGAGAATAGTGCTGGAACGCTGCTACAATGATTTGCGTCTTCTCACTGTGCCCAGTAAGACCCTGAAAGCTGAAGGATTTTTTAGGAGTAACAAGGTATCTCTTATTCTTTCATTACTATTTTCTGGTAATAACAAATGAAATTAAGTTTAACATTATAAATCCAGCCTCTAGAGCTATCCACCTTTTAGCTTCTCCCAATAATTACCTTTCTTTGTAGTCAGGTTAGATCAGGCTTCTTTCTGTCCTCTGAATCAGTCTTCCTGGTTCTCCTCTCTGCCTTGTTCACAAGCTACTCCCACCTGCAGTGTTCCTTGCCATCTCTCTACATTTTTTTTTCCAAGCCCCAGATTACTCCTGCCTCTTCGGTGAAGCCTTCATGACAGTTTTTACCCACTATGGTTATGTTCTCTGCATTTTATTCATTTTTGAGCTTTTCCCATAATGTAGTACTGCATGGTGAAAGTGAGAGGCATGCCTAGTATGGAGAAAATTATCATAGTGGCTTTACCCAACATTATTTTCTTTATGTACTCTTTTATCTGTTAGAAAAGAGAACATTCATATTGATGTTTTTGTTTCCTCTCTTGATATAATTATGTCTTTCATTATTTATCCTTTTTTCTATGTGTTTGTTCCTAACATCTATGGTTTAGTCTGGATGAGTTTCACTCAGAAGTTGCCTTGTTTGTCATCTTTCATTTATTGTCTTTTCCAGTCTTACTCATCTTTGTCTCTTATCTCATTTAACCATTTTTAGTATTGTTTATTATAAATCCAATGTGTAATTTTCATTTATCTCTATTTTCCTCTAGTACTTTTGTGTGTTGTATGTGTGTGTAACATTAAAATCTCTAATCCACATGATACTGGTTTAGGATAAGGAGTGGGAGAGATTTGTTTTTAAATGGTTAGCTGTTAGTCCTGATGTGTAACATTTATTGAATAATAGTTATATTTTATGAAAAACTCAGAATGGTATTTATAATTGCCAAATTTGTATATATGCATTTCATTTTTTTAAACTTTATTTTGGAAATTTTCAAGCATATACAGAAATAGAGAAAATAGTGTAATGAACCCCTGTGTACTTATCACCCAGCTTCTATAATTAAAAACTCCTGTTTCATCTGTATTTAACCACCTACTTCCCTGGATTACTTGAAAAACATCCCCAGCATCATATTATTTCATCTATAAGGAATCTGAATATATATCTCTCTAAAAGATGAGAAATTTTTTTAAAAGTATAACTATAATTGCATTATCACACCTAAAAAATTAAGAGAAATGCATTAATACCAACCAGTAACTGTTAGTCAGTGTTCAAATTCGCTGATTATTTTATAAATTTTTATTTTCCTAATAGGATTTGTCTGTTCAAATCAGGATCCAAATAAAGGTCATAATATCTCTCTAAAGTTTATTTTAATCTAAAGATTCTTCTTCATGTTTCATTTGCTATAGAATCAAATCATTTGTCCATTAGATTTTTTTCCATAATCTGGATTTTGGTGTTGCATCCCCAAGATGTCTGTAGTCATGTTAAGCTTTGATTTCCTGAAAAGCAGGATGTATATACAGAAATTTTCTGAAAATGGGCAACCCAGTAAATAAGATATCTGCTTGTGTTTGTTCCACTGCCTTAGCACTGTTTTATGACTAACTATAAAGACGTATGAAAATAAAAAGTATTTTGTATGGTTTCCAAAAACAATGCATGTGTCCTTTAGAAACATTGTCCTTCTCCAAAAATTTATAACTTACGCACTCTCTGGTATTGATGTGATATTATCCTTATGATGATGAGAATGTCACTAAAATTAATGATGCAATATAACCCTCTGCCTTACTATTTAGGTGTTTGTTGAAAGTTCTGAGACTTTGGATTACCAGATGGCCTTTACAGACTCTCATTTGTGGAAACTCCTGGATCGACATGCAAATACAATCAGATTATTTGTTTTGTTACCTGAACAATCCCCAGGATCGTACTCCAAAAGGACAGCATACCAGAAAGCTGGGGGTGATTCTGGTAATGTGGATGATGATTGTGAAAGAGTTAAACCTGTGGGGAGCCTAAAGTCTGTGGAAGCTATTCTGGAAGAAAGCACTGAGAAACTCAAAAGCTTGTCACTACAGCAACAGCAAGATGGAGATAATGGGGACAGCAGCAAAAGTACTGAGACAAGTGACTTTGAAAATATTGAATCACCTCTCAATGAGAGAGACTCTTCAGCATCAGTGGAAAATAGAGAACTTGAACAGCATATTCAGACTTCTGATCCTGAAAATTTTCAGTCTGAAGAACGATCAGACTCAGATGTGAATAATGACAGGAGTACAAGTTCAGTGGACAGTGATATTCTTAGCTCCAGTCATAGCAGTGACACTTTGTGCAATGCAGATAACGCTCAGATCCCTTTGGCTAATGGACTTGACTCTCATAGCATCACGAGTAGTAGAAGAACTAAAGCAAATGAAGGAAAAAAAGAGACATGGGATACAGCAGAAGAAGACTCTGGAACTGATAGTGAATATGATGAGAGTGGCAAGAGTAGGGGAGAAATACAGTACATGTATTTCAAAGCAGAACCGTATGCTGCAGATGAAGGTTCTGGGGAAGGACATAAATGTATGTACTTAAAAAGAAAAAACTCCTTGAAACAGCATCAATTTATTCTCAGCTTATTTAAATTTTAGTTAAAAGAATCAGCTAAGAATTAGGTACTTTGTTCTAAGACCACCATTACCTTCCTGGATTCTAAGACTGTTTTCTATTGCCTTACCTTTAATTTTTGATGCAGTTATAGTGAACAGTATTCTTAGACCTGTGACAGTAATGATGTCACAATTCTAGTGAGATAAGTTATTTTTTCAAAAAAGTGTTTTGCCCTGGCTGATGTGGCTCAGTGGATTGAGCGCAGGCTTACATACTGGCTCAAATAGGTTACATAATTTGCCTGAGGTCACAAAGGGAGTAGGTCACACTACTGGGATCAGACTCATGTTTTCTTTTCTTTCTTTTTTTTTTTTTAAAGATTTTATTTATTTATTTTTTTAGAGAGGGAAGGGAGGTAGATAGAGAGAGAGAGAGAAAGAGAGAGACATCAATGTGTGGTTGCTGGGGGTTATGGCCTGCAACCCAGGCATGTACCCTGGCTGGGAATCGAACCTGGGACACTTTGGTTCCCAGCCCGAGCTCAATCCACTGAGCTACGCCAGCCAGGGCTAGACTTATGTTTTCTGATTGCATGCCTAGTATGAATTCTTCTACCCCGTTACTACTACCACTATTCTTTACTTCCCTCACATTATACTAAAAGAAAATTAGCCAGTTGCTACTGTGTTTTCTTGTCATTCTCAACCCTTTAAGAGCATTGAAGAAATTAAAATTAAAAGTAGCTCCTCTTTAGGGAAACGTTAGAAATTTTTTTTAGTGGTTTGTTTTTAAAATTTGCATGATAGTCTCAACCTTAAGAATTATAGTCTGAAGAGTCTTATTTCCATCTTAGAATGGCTAATGAAATCTTAAAAGGGAATGCTGGCCATTTTAACCTTTTTGGAAATTCATAGTGGGCTGATTTATTAGCATTCATTGAAATAATAAATATTTATGTAGTCTTTCAGAAGCCACACAGAAGGTTTGTTTGAAATGAAAAAGAGAAAACTGGAAAATGCCTTTTCATGTTTAGAAAACTGGCTTAGAGATAGGAAAGTAGGAATGGTAGCCAGCTGTCTCAGAAGTCTGCAGTAAGTCTGCTTTATCACAGTTCTCCAGTGATCTAAGGTGCCTGCGAAACATAGATGATGAGTAATAACCATAGGTTCTTTGTCAGAGTGTTGAAATGGCAAGGTAAAATAGCTACAAAGAATTTGGAAACTGAATAGTGACATTCTATGTACTCTATAGGCAATTTATTTAGTTAATAACCAAACTTCTTTCAAAAGAATGATCTTTAAGCTATCTGTTACAATCCAGGAATTGTTTCAGTGAGTAATTATATACCTTTCTCTAAAAATACTGTTCTAATTGGACCTAGTTGTAGTCTGTAGTTCCTGTTTATACTTGGGTATAAACAGGAAAATAAAGGTAATAAAAATGTAGTGCATTTGCACAGAAACTTCTTTGTATAATTTTAGTTACCACTTTATTCAAGAAATACATAAAAGAAAGAAAAAGGAAAACCCTGAAGATAGTTGCACAGTGAAGGGACTGAACTCTTCAGTTTGAAGAGGTAGATAAGAAAACTGATATGATGGTAAACTCTAAAACTACGAAATAATTATAGCCAGTCAATTACACTAACACTTTTTATCAGGGCTGTCTATGTTAATCATTTTATATGAATTCACCCACAAACACATTTTGGAGTATAAATACTATTATCTCCATTTTATAATAGAGGTATTTGAAGTACAGATAAGTTAAGAAGTCAAAGTCACAAATCTATACAAGGAGGAGCCAGAAATGTATTCAGGCCAGGCCATCTAACTCCAGAACCACCTGGTCCTAATCGCCATTATTGACTAGTCTTTTGTGTCTTCCTATGATACAATGTTACTACAAGTTATGAGAAACCAAAATGGGAGTAGTAACTTGTTTTTGAGTAATGCTATAGAATTTAGTACATTTGTTGTAAAGAAACAGTTGGGACTGGTGTAATGATCCCATGAGAAAACTGCAGCTCTGAGAGACTGGATGACCCATCTGTAGCCCTTTGTCAGACTAAAGAGGCAAAACTAATTTAGCCACAGGCTTCTCATTTCTAATCAAGTAATGTCTTCATTACACACTTCTCAAGAAATTTAGTGCCTTCCTGGGATAGCATAACTAGAGGCTTGTTTTTTTAAAGCCGGAATATTAATATTTAGGGCACTCCTTAATGCTTAGAAGTGGGCATTTAAAAAGTTTATTACCCTGTTTATCTTTTCGTCTAATTGGTACTTGTGACATTTCCTATAGTGAATCAGTATTTAGTGAATCAGTATTTAATAATTAGGAAAACAGTAAATGAACATTAAATTGCAAAAGTCCACTCAGAAAAATGCGTCCCCCAGATTGTGATGACCTGAAAACATTAACCAGCAGTCATATTAGGGTCTCATTTTTGACCTTCAATATATTTCACAGAAAAACAGGGACTGCAGGGAGACCATGGGCCTGCGGCAGTGCCCCAGCTATTGCAGTCTGCACTGCCTGTTAAAGAGAGAGACAAGTGAGCGTTTTGCTGTTCACTAGAATATAAAGACCAGAATAAATAGAAATATTTCAGAAGTACACTCATGAGTGGCTCATATAATAAAGGACAAAAGATTAAAATAATAAGCATTAGAAAAAATAAAGGTCATCAAAGATAACATTAAAATGCCCGGAAAACCCAAACTGAACCTTGGAGGAGGTGGGAATTTCTGATCCACTGAGATGTTTCTGTTACAGTCCAGTCATATCTCTATATGCTAGTCTTGACATTTTTCTCCTAGTAGAAATCCCAGAATTACATTTACTAGTAAAATTTGAGACAGTTGCTATATATTACCTGGCACTGTGCTAAAAGCACAATAACTGTACTACCTCATTGAATTCACTGCAATGCTATGAGGTAGTACTGTTATTACCTCTATCTTTTGAATGAAAAAATACAAGTACAGAGGCTGGCAGCTTGCTCCATGTTTAAGGAAGCAGAGGAGCTAGGGTTGGAACCCAGCCAGTGCCCACATTTTACTATGCGCAACTACAGATCTATGTATTTGAAAAGTCTGCCTGGGAGTTTATTTTTTAAGTCAGCAGCCTAAATAAATAAATAAGCACTCAAATATCTCAACATTTAAAGCTGTCAGATGATACCTATCATGTACTCAGTTTCTGTATTCTTTGTCCCTCTAATGTTGTATATTTGCTAAAAGTCAAGTAACTAAAGGGGGGGCTTTTCCCTGCTTCCAGTAGAGTAACATGTAGATGATTTGTTTTGTACTCTAAGAGGTTTCTTTTACAGTTTTGTTTCTGTTTTGATTTCTTTATGCTTAGGGTTGATGGTGCATGTTGATAAAAGAATTACTCTGGCTGCTTTCAAACAACATTTAGAGCCCTTTGTTGGAGTTTTGTCCTCTCACTTCAAGGTCTTTCGAGTGTATGCCAGCAATCAAGAGTTTGAGAGCGTCCGACTGAATGAGACACTTTCATCATTTTCAGATGACAATAAGGTTGATTAAAATAATTTTGAATAAATGTGTCTTTTAAATGTTAGGTACTAGAACATCTTGCACTACATCCAAGTAAGGTGGAATTGATTCCCTAAAAGTATAATTTTTCTTTGATGTTTAGTGGTTGTTTTTGTTGTTTTCATGCATCTAACAAACATTTGTTAAATGTTAACTGTGTCAGTTACTGTTCTAGGTGCTGGGGAATCGAGGGTAAAAGATACTCCTGTTCTAAAAGAGCCCATTATGTAGAGAATTTTGGAAAACAAGCTAAACAATGAGTGGTAATGGGTTGTTTGTTCTGCTGAGAATGTACATCTAAAAAATGTTTTTAATTTATAGATTACAATTAGACTGGGGAGAGCACTTAAAAAAGGAGAATACAGAGTTAAAGTGTACCAGCTTCTAGTCAATGAACAAGAGGTAAGTAATACACTTAAGAGCAAGATACAGTCACTTTTGGCAGTTATTAAAAACATACAATGCAGACATTTTGTTATTAGTCACTTCTTTTTACCTCTGTAAGCCACATGTCAGCATACTTTTTCTAGCATATCTTTTAGTTGTTCAGGCCATGCTGCCTCTTTGTAACTACTCAGTGCTGCCAGTGTAGCATGAAAGCAGACATTGACCATACAGAAAACCAATGCAAGTGGCTGTTTCTCACCAATATTTTATTTATAAAACAGGCATGTGATGAATGTAGCTCTCAGGTCATTTTTTATCATGCCCCTGCTCTAAAGTATAGCTATAAACACTGGAGTGAGGCAAAAATTTCCTGCTTTTAAAAGGGGATTTGTGTCTGCTTATTTTCTGGGAATGATTGTATAATGCTGCAGGTGGGTAACAGTTGACCTGTAGGGTATATTGGTTCTTTTTGTGTTCAGAGTATCATTTTCATATTTAACAGGCATTTTTCTAGTGTTTACCATATGCTCAAAGTGCTCAAGTATTAACTCCTTTGATCCTCATTAATTAACTCTGTAACTACTATTTATTATTCCAATTTTATAGATGAAGAAACTGAGGCTCAGAGAAGTTGAGTATTATTATTATTTTGTGATATTATTCACAAAATGTTTATAATATCTTATTGGGGACCTAGACAAATGTGGAAAACAAATAGCAAATAAGGGGGATAAATTTTTCATGAAATGCCTCTGTTCATTCAACAAACATTTTTTCAGGCACCAATCATATCTCGTGTGTGTGATCCATTACAGTCATTTTGACTTACATGTTTCTTCCAAGTGTGGGTCTGTGGGTACTGTTTCTCTTTTGAGACAAGTAATGAATGTACTTGGAGAATTAGTTATGTATTTTCCTCATTTTAGTCCATAAAAATAATTCTTTTTACTTTTAAAATTTTGAGCATTTTATCACAAGAAGGGAAATATGAATGTATTATCTTAATCTTAAGGTGACTTTGTGAGTAAGACGTTGTCCCCATGTATAGATTAGAAGACTGAAGCACAGAAATGCTGAGTAAACTTGCCCAAGGTAACAGGTAGTAGAGTCAAGGTTTGAACCTAAACTCTGGCCCATGATTGTACAGTATAAAGTGCAAGTGAAATGTCTCGTTAATCCTTTCTTTAAATGTATAACTCAAGCTCTAATTATTTATGTTTCTAGCCATGCAAGTTTCTGCTGGATGCTGTGTTTGCTAAAGGAATGACTGTACGGCAGTCGAAAGAGGAGTTAATTCCTCAACTCAGGGAACAGTGTGGTTTGGAACTCAGTATTGACAGGTAAAGTGCAGTTACGGTGTCATTGGAAGAAAGACTGTGTGGTCAAATGATACAAATTGGTATGATTTTCTAAAACTAGAAGAATTAAAAATTTCTATAGTATTCAGAATTTTAATACTGCAAATTAGTTTAATGAACTAAGCAAAAGTACTAGAATTGTGTTCAAATTTCCTCTGTAGAATACTATTAAATTTGAAGTATTGGGAGCATTTTATTTTCTCCAGTTTTAATGAATAACTGCTTGACTTAAGCATAATTTGTTTTTCCTTGATGTTAGATCAATGTCATTTTTTTAAGTCAAGAATTTCAAGTTATGGTATTTTAAAATGTCTTATCATATTTGTAGGTTTCGTTTAAGGAAAAAGACATGGAAGAATCCTGGCACTGTCTTTTTGGATTACCATATTTATGAAGAAGATATTAATATTTCCAGCAACTGGGAGGTTTTTCTTGAAGTTCTTGATGGTATTACTAACATTTTTGTGGGGGAAATACTGGTTAGAAATGCTCTAGAATTAAAACTATAGAAGCCTATAGCTTTTTAAATCAAAGAATGAGTTTTTTTCTGCATTTTCTCTGGATCCCATTTGCCTTTTAAATATTTCTTTTTTCTCTGATTTTTTAGAATACTATTGCTTCTTACAGGGATGTTGCAATTTCAAGGTTATATTTTTAGTATCTTTTACAGAAAATGTTTCTAATATTTTCTTAGCCATATTTGTTGTTTAGTTTCTTTTTTCATTATGGCTTATTTTGTTTTGAGGATGTGCTATTGATAATTTGTCAGAGATTTAGAGAATAATGACTGTATTAGTTTCCTAGACTGTCATAGTGAAATACCACAAACTGGGTAGCTTAAACAGGAGAAATTTTTGGCCCCACCATTTTGGAGGCTAGAAGTCTGGGACCAAGATGTCAGCAGCGGTGGTTCCCTCTGAGGGCTGTGAGGGAGAATTTGTTCCATGCTTTTCTCCTCACTTACGGTGGTTTGCTGACAGTCTTTGGTGTTCCTTTCTTGTAGATGTATCATCTTGATCTCTGCCTTTATATTCCCATGATGTTCTCCCCTGTCAGTTTATCTATCCCTATCCAAATGTCCCTATATTATAAGGACACTAGCCATTTTAGATTAGGGCCTGCTCTGGTGACCTCATTTTAACTTGATTGCCTCTCTAATGACCCTGTACCAAATAAGGTCGCATTCCGAGGTACTGGGCAGTTAAGACTTCAGTAAGTCTTGGTTGGGGGAGGCACAGTTCAACCCGTAACAGTGACCTAGAGGAGGCGCTTGTGTTTGTTACACACCGTGGTTTTAATGGTCAACATTGGTATATTTAAAGTACTGGTTTTTGGAGGAGGCAGTGTGGGAAAGTTGGCTTTTAGGAGGTGATATCAAGGGAAACAGCTGGGTTTCTATATTCTTTTATGACTTGGCTGTCACTTAGATTTTGATGTTCCTTTTTTCCATAGAAGTTAATATATCATAAATTCTGGATGTTTCTGCATATGATTGTGATAGCTTTCAGACACTCAGTAATACTAACTCTTCACCTATTTCAGGACAAATTTGGTTTAAATTTCAATGGTTGAAATTCTAATTAATTGACAAGTTATGGAGAGAGTGAAAATCAAGAAGGATACTGTATGCTATCATGCATAAGGGAATGCTTCAGATTGTAATTCCTTCTCTAAGGGGCTGGGGCCTTAGAGAATACTCACTGTGTCTGGGTAGGCCAGGAAGAGATCATGAAGAACACAGAAATGACCCTTCTTAGGGAGGATTGAGTTTGAATTAGCAGAGATGGATTGGCCAGGAAATGTCATTGAAAGATGGGTGCCTGAGTCAGTATCATTCCAGTATATATTTTAGCATCAAATAGTTGAGTAAGAAGTAAGTGATAGAATTAAATCTAAGAAGCATTTATTAACCTATAATTTGTCAGACACTGCTAATTTCTAGTGCTACAAAAATGAATAAGAACTAGTGATTGCTCTCCAGATGTACATAGTCTGTGGGTGAACCAGAACTCAAAAGCTATAATTCTAAAATAATAGGTACTGAAGACCGAATCAGCACAATTTGTTCTTATACAAACTAGAGAGAAAGGTGACAGTTGAACCGGGTTTTGAAGAATCAGTAAGTTTGGGTGAAAATGTAGAGGGAATGGTTAATGAGATCATTTGAGTGAAAAAAGGAGGTAAAGTGAAGTCGGGGTTTAATTACGATTTTAGATTGTGGGTAATAGCCAGTAGAGAGGCATAGATTGCAGATCCAGAGAAGAGAGTAACTGGTGGCCAACAGAAAGCAGGAGAGAGTGGAATTAAGAATACAGGTGGAAGGAGAGCTTGAAGAAGAGTTAGGAGTTATCTTTTGAGACTGAAGAGGAAAGTAAATTTTATTCTCAAAAACTCCTGGGGATAATTGGGCATAAAAGCTCAATTTTTAAGAGTAATGCTTGAAGTAAATCTTTTTTTTTTTTTTTTAGTCAGGCAACATAGAAAATGTTGAATTACGAACCTGTAGAGAAAAATGCAGTGATAACCTAATCTTGCATGTTCACAGGAGTGGAGAAGATGAAATCCATGTCACAGCTTGCAGTTTTGTCAAGACGGTGGAGGCCTTCAGAGATGAAGTTGGATCCCTTCCAGGAGGTTGTGTTGGAAAGCAGTAGTGTTGATGAGTTGCGAGAGAAGGTAAGTTCTTTTTAAACAAAATGACCTAGTATACATTTTGTATTTTCCCCTGTGTTGCCTAAGAAGTAGCATATTAAGTGAGTGCCAAATACTGCTGCAGTAACCTTTCTTTGTCTCTGTCATATTTTGTGGCACCTTGAGCCATACATTCCAGTTATTTCTTAGCGCTCCTGATTCCTTGAAAAATATCATTGGCTTCGGGGCCATCCAGAAGTAGACCATCAATTTCTGTTACTTGGATCAACTTTGTCCTAAGTAGTTAGATTAGCTCAGAGTTACCAGAGTAAATTGCCATGTGTATTTTTTTTTTTTTTTTGATAAGGGAGGTAGGATTAGATAGAGAATGCAGGTGAAGGTCTCTTTTGAATATTTTATTTATTTTTTTGGATTTTATTTATTTATTTTTAGAGAGGGAAGGGAGGAAGAAAGAAAGAGAGAGAAACATCAATGTGCGGTTGCTGGGGGCTGTGGCCTGCAACCCAGGCATGTGCCCTGACTGGGAATCGAACCTGCAATGCTTTGGTTCGCAGTCCGTGCTCAATCCACTGAGCTATGCCAGCCAGGGCTGAATATTTTATTTTCAAAGGTGGGATTTCTAAAGATCTCTGGGGAAAGAGTGAATTGTTTATAAGTGATTCTAGGACAACATTTTGGAAAAACTTTTATTTTGAAACTTTACACCAAACACAAAAATAAATTCTAAATATATTAAATTTATATTAAAAGTGTAATGAAATTATAAACATACTAGATGAAAAGATTTTTATCATCCTGGAGAGGAAAAGATATTTTTAATCATGATACCAGAAGCTAAAAAAAAAAAGTAAACTTACATAAAAGTTAAATCTTTCGCATAGCCAAAAAAAAATTTTTTGTACAGTAAAAGTTAATAAATAATTTAGTTAAAAAATAAGAAAGGGACAAAATATTTGAAACATATATGAAACATGATGTCCATAATTTATAAGGAGCTACTACATTAATAAGAAAAAGATGAATGATCTAATTTTAAAATGGGCAAAGAACATGAATAGGCAATTTGTTGAAGAAATAAAAGTTAAAATGACAGTGTTTCACCTCTTAAATTGACGAATATTTAGAAAATCAGTGAATACCTAAAGTGAAGTAATGTAATTTTTTAAGGTTTAGTTTGGCATTATCAACATTCCACATGCACAGTTCCACATCTAAGAACTCAGTCCAAAGAAATGCTTGCAGAAATGTGCAAGGATGTTCATGGCGGTATATAATGTGGCATTGTGACTGGCAAGAATTAAAAACAGGCTTACTGTTTTATTTCCATCCGCTGGAAATAAGGTAGTTCAGTGGTTGAAGAGAGTTGGTTACTCCATATCCTATTATTATAATAGGATGATTGTCCTTATAAAATAAAGGTATTATGTAGAGATATTTTATAAAGTTTTGTGTATTTTTAAAATGCATAATTTATAAAAGCATAGGAAAAGCTCTGGGAGGAATATACTAAACGATATTTCTGGGACATAGCATTTGCAAAGTAAATAGAGGAGATAATTCACTTTGTTCTTTTTTTCTAATTTTTTTCATCAAACATACTACCTTTTCTTGAAAAAAAAATCAAGTTATTTGTATGTTGGGTAAAAGGAAAATAACTTTTTAAAGCAAATGTATATGTTAAATGAACTCATATAATGTTTTCTTTCACAGCTTTGTGAAATCAGTGGAATTCCTTTGGAAGATATTGAATTTGCCAAGGTAAAGCCCTGAGAATGTTTGCACCAGGTTACTATTGCTCAATAAATGTGGCTAATGGCACGGTTTATTCCTTCATTCTTCCTTAGGGTAGAGGGACTTTTCCCTGCGATATTTCTGTCCTTGATATTCATCAGGATTTGGACTGGAACCCCAAAGTTTCTACCCTGAATGTTTGGCCTCTATATATTTGTGATGATGGTGCAGTCATATTTTATAGGTAATACAATACGCACAGTGTTTCTGTTGTTTCTCATAATGTAACATTTTTGTTTTGTATAAGTGTCTTGTTTTTCATAAATACCTTCACTATTGTTATGGTAGAGAGTGGTTCTGACCCATAGAAATACAGTGAGAGCCACACATTTCATTCTGAAATTTTCTAGTAGCCACATTTAAAAAAGTAAAAACTAACAGGTGACATTAATTTTAATAATTTTTTAACCCAGATGTCCAAAATATGATTACAATGTGTAACCAATATAAAAAATTACTTGAGTTGTTTTACACTGTTTTCTTGTGGTAAGTCTTAGACATCTCGTGTGTGTGTTACACTTCCAGCACACTGCAGTCTGGACCAGGCACATCTACAGGTGATCAGTAGGCACACGTGGTTACTGACTAACGTGTGGACAACACGGATGTAGAAGAAAAGGAAGTCACTGGAGCCTGGCAGATATGGGCTCAAATTTAGCTTTGTTGTTTACCTGACTCCTCATCTGTAAAGTGGCAGCAGTGATGTCAGCCTTGCAAGATTTTGAGAATTAGAGTGTTTGCCACATTTTCAAAAACTGGCACAGTGCTTCCTATTAAGTGGATGTTCGATAAATGATAACTGTTATACTGATAACATGGAAATTATGCCATTTTTTAGAAGTGAGTGCCATGCTAATAAACAGTTTAGAAACCTATATCTTAGTATATGAGATTAATTTCATTGGTGACATCAGATTCTGTTTTCTCACTGAGGAGCATTATATTAATAGAGGCATAAATTAATAGAGGTAGATGGCTCTCCTGGTCTAATATGTCATTAATATTTTAAATGTAGGGATAAAACAGAAGAGTTAATGGAGTTGACAGACGAGCAGAGAAATGAACTGATGAAAAAAGAAAGCAGTCGACTCCAGAAGACGGGACATCGTGTAACGTACTCACCTCGGAAAGAAAAAGCACTAAAAATATATCTGGATGGAGCACCAAATAAAGATCTGACTCAAGACTGACTCTACTAGTGTAGCATTTTCCCTGGGGGATTCTGATTTTAATTAGACGGTTCACTGCTACTGTGTAGTGCCATTATGGCCAGACATGGTTAGGGGTAACCCCGTGACACCAGCACTGATTGGACTGCCTTTCACCAATCAGCAGCCCAGTGCCCAATGGGCCACTGTTTTGACTTGGAATCATGTTGTGCACTATAGTCAAATGTACTGTAAAGTAAAAAGGGATGTGCAAAAAAATAAAAACAAAAAGCAAAACCTGCTACTAGAAAGGGGGAAGGGGAATGAGCAAACGTCTTTTTTGCGGACAAATGTGCGCATAGCCGCTAGTAAAACTAGCTTCAAACAGGATTCTCATAGTTTAATAATAAAAGCTGTGCAAAGGCCATGAATGAATGGATTTTCTGTTTATTTCACTGATACACACATTACCTCATTGACAATTTGTAAGTAAATGCAACGTGTGTTGACTCTTGGAAAGCAGCAAAAACAGGAGCTGAAGAAAGAAATTCTTAGAACCAGCCGTAACCCAGTCAAGAATTGTGAAGTTGTGGTTTTTTGTTTCATTTTTTGCGAAGTATAAAGAACATTATTTTGGAACATCAGAACATTTCCTTTAGACCACTCCCAGCAGATGGCAGCTCAAATTGCTGAATATTGTAATTATAACTGTACTTAAGTTATGGATGTTGAGAATACTTTTCACTCGTTCATTCAGCATGTAAATAAAATCAATCCTGTTGAGTTAGCACAATGGCAGTTCCCCCACTTCCCATCATGATGTACATTTGTGTACACCAAGAAGTATAGCGGTCTCTGTAAATGTATTCCTCAGTGCTGGGTTCCATACGATTGTATTTGCCCTTGTTAATGAGGTTTTTCTGTTCAGTGACTTCAGTTTTATTTCTTTTTGTACATTACTTTTGAAATATCCTTCAAGTTTGAATCTTATAGAACCCTTGTAAGTCCCAGTTTAATTTTGGGCATTGATTTGTAGTTACATGTAGTTTAACTTTGGGAAACTTCTTACCATCATGTGGAATAAACTTGCTAGTAAGTCAGGTCATAGCACAGGCTGATGCAGTCAACATGATTTCATTGCAAAGTCTATTAGAGTCAGCAAGTTTTTGCTTTGCTAAAAACAACTATTAAAGGAACACAATTATACGTAAATTTTGAAAATGCCATCTAATTTATAAAAATCAATAAAGAGGTTTTGGTAAAACTTTTTCATGCCAGATGCTGTTTACAACAATGAACATGCCAATAAAACATTTGTTCATTCTGTTGTGTTATTTTAGTCATTAAACTTTTGTGGATGAAGAATTGGGTTTAAGAATAGATTTGTTTTCTTTAAATACAACATTTTGTAATGTGTACTGAATAATTATTTCACTTCTGTGATAGGGTATGTTTACAGTAAAGTTCTCATAAGAGATGAAAAGATGTTAATATTTAACTTTGGAGGATCCTGTCAATACTACAAAATCAGATTTTTACTTTTTTTCCTTTTAAGAAATATATAATTAGAAAATAATATTAGAGGTTAGCTCTGCAGTTTGAATATAATAATTGAGAATTTCTTACTATAGCTTAAAAGTCTTTTGGCATCCACAAGGGAAAATCTTTTCTAAGGTATTTTTCTGGCTAATTTTTATTTCATGTAAACTATGTAGCATTCTGCTCAGTGTGAAGTACTTTTCTGAGTTTGCATTATGGCATTGGTGGTATTCTCAGAGGAAAACTGGAAGCCTTGTGGTGAGTTGTCTTTCAAGGTCACCGATTTTCTGATGTAACGTGACAGCTCTTTGGTTCTGATCCAGGCCTGCTTACTTGGGACATGGGGGGCTAATAAACGGGGTTTCTGCTTTCAAGAACTGACTGACTGTGGAGCAGAGGAGGCTGATCAGTAAACAAAATTGGCTACGGGCTTGTTTGGTTTGGTTTGGTCTAGTGTTCCTGCAGAGTAAATGGTAAAATTATTCTTCTGTGCCTTCTGCCCTGATTTTTGTTTTGTGTTTGCTACTTCTGATTGCAGGCATATTACAAATACCAAGAGTAAAGAAAATACATTTCGTTACAGAGAATAAAGCTCTCTTGCTTTTCAGTGCCTGGTGGAGAACACAATGTTGCACTTTAGTAATTTCAGAAAAGGGTGCGCTTAACTTTTCAAATGGACTTGTAATAGGAACAGTGGTTTATGTAAAGGAGGGAAACATGAGCCCGCCCCTCTCATATTCAAAGGATCAAGTGAGTACGCAGGAGGCCAAAAGGCAGAGCACTAACTGGATCAAGTACCCAAGCTGGGCAGGATGTGGAGCCTGGTCATCACTCATCAGCCTGGCCCTGCTCCCCACAGGCCACACCAAGGTTTTGAAGTGTTTTTACTGTGGGGCACATGGGGTTATGTCTACCGGCACGTCTTGTGAGAACCAAATACCTACATTTCTGAGGCAGGTGTTGAAGATGAGGGGTGCATTCTGGCCAAAGAAGGAAAAGCTGTGCTTTTGGGACCCTACTGTGGTGCTGTGGTTACCTGGCACGTTCGCTAGTTGAAGGTCTGCTTCACAAGCCAAGGAAGTAAATGGATAGCAGTCACAATGAGAGAAATAGCAAGTGAAGGCTCCCTACAGTAGAATGTGCGGTGCTCTCTTCTGTAATGTAATGGAAAGTACTTCAGGGTTCTGAGGAAGCAGGGGTGACCCTATGCCACAGCTAGAAAATGGTCAAGGAGCTGTTGGTTGCCAGGCCACACTGTTAGGAATGGTCTTGTGATGTGTCTCCCGGCCGAGAGAGGAGAGAGCTGCCAATGTACACTGTGGTCTAAGCTAAATGAGTGCACTGCGTCTGAAAGTGACTTGTGAATGTATGGAATACAATAAAACCTTTTATTCTGGTTCATTCGCTAGTATTTCCTTTTTAATTGGCTACTGAAGCCCTCCCTCTGAATTGTGTCCTTTTATTCAGAATTGAGACCCTAACTAGTTGTTTTGCTGTTGTGACTTGCACATTGTAGTCTAGAGCACATGGAGTAGAAGAGAATCTGAAGTAGCAAGTTTTTTGTTTGCTAAATAAAACTATTCCACCTAAACAATTCTGTGTAATTTTTGAAAAACAAATCAATACTTTGGTCACTAGCAGTCAAAAGGCTACAAATTCTTAAATGCAAAATTGTGTGTGTGTATAGTTTTCCAGGGGGTTAGTATGATAGTTCTTTATTCGGGTTTATAAAGGAGTTTGTTTCCCAGCTAAAGCTTGTACCCACCTAGACTTAGAGTACTTGAAGTCAGGCGGGGAAGAGGGGTGGTGTGATCACATGGTTAGACACTGTTAATTTTCTAAAGTTGGCTTTCAGAAACGAGCACCTGACAACATCAAGAGTGCATTAAAGCAGATGTAACCATTTAGAAAAGAACATAGCAATCACTACTAGGGGCCAAGCAAGGAGGGCAGGAAAGAAAGCATTGAGGCACAATGCCCTTCCCCTCCAGCTAACTGTGCAGGAGAAGCTGGTGTTCTGATTGGTCTCCACCCACCAGGAGATACCAGCAGACCCTGTGGCATAGCCTAAAAGGTGGGGACCACGTTTGCATTCTGCTTCCTTTGCTCCCAACCTGCCGCCTCCCCCGGTACAGGAGGCACACAGTTTTCAGCTTCATTATAATGCTTAAATAACCCATTTAAGGAGTATCAACTTGAGATACAAATATGCAATGGTTCTATTTTTCCAGTAACTGCCAGCCATGTTTGCTCTGTTGAATGCAGTTTCCCCTGGAAGTCAGCTGTCATTAGGCTCTCAGTATACAATCTTAAAACTTTTATGTCACTTTCTATTAAGACAGTCTGATCTTTTTAAAGTTTCAGTCATTTGATTCAAAGCTCCCCACGGGCACCGCCCTCATCACATGCCGCAGTGCCTGGTGTGTGTGCTGCTGCTCTCTGCCTGGACAGGGGAAGGTGTGGCCGGCGCTCACTCTCCCCACCTGCTCTTCCTGCACTAGCTCTGGCGGCCAGAGAGGGAGGGGGAGAGGTGAGGACGTCCCCTGACAGGGGCAGCCTCCTGTTGGTCATGGTGAGGTCACTGTCCCCTTTCGTCTGGTCTGTACATTCACTGTGAAGAATGCTCTGCAGACCTAGCAGCCAAGGACTCCAGACAGCCGTGGTGGTCCTTTGTGAAATGGCTCTTGCCACTGCTGCTGGGAAGGGGCCTCCCTCTGAAACGGGCACCACTTTGTCCCATGCTGCCCTGGTCCCCGCCCAGTCTTCGACCCTTGGTTCTTGTTTCTTCCATACCCCAGTCCCCGATGAGTGCTGTCCGAGCCCATCTTTGTTGCCTGCCCCGCTGCACAGCTGTTCTCTCCAGCTGCCTCTCCCTGGTGCTCCTTCTGTGGTAAATTGTTGGCAAGTCAGCAGGACCTGTGGCTTCTGACGGCTGTTCCCCTTTAATGTGTCGATAGCACCCACACAAAACTCCCCATGAGTTTTAGCCAAAGGAGTAAGTCTAATTGTCCCCTCCTTCATGGGAGGTCAGGGAAGGACATACCCTGCTTTCTAAGCACTAACTTCCCAAAAGGGGATTTCTTACCCTCTTTCTAGCGGTTCTCCAGGGCAGGCAGGCTGCTGCTGAAATAGCACCTCAGCGAGCCCTGTGTGGAGGAACCTACTCCACAGCTGTTGGCCTCTGAACTTACGAATCCCAGTCTAATTACCTAAAAACAATCTCAGAACAATCAGTTGCATCTCTTGACCGTGTGAAGGGGAGAGACACAGACCACAGGAACACTCCCTTTTCTGGTTCCAGTGTCTGCCCTCACACCACAGCAGTGCCCCTTGCTTCTCTTCAACTCCCATCCTTCCGCTCTGCACCCCTTTCTCCGTGTCAAAAGCCCAAAGAACCAGGCTAGTGAGGCAAGACACACCAGGCATGGGGGGACGCAGAGTGGGACACACCGAACAGCTAGGTCAGCGGCCACCGTTCTTGTCCCATCGCACTCCTCTTCCTGTTCGTTCTGCGTGTGCGGGTGAACCCGCTTTCTCGTCTGTGGGGAGGGGAGGGCAGAGACACACAGCCTGCACCTCACGCCCAAACATTTCATTTTCCAGTCTTGCCTTTCCCGGAGCTGTACACTGGGGGTGGAAAGTGGGTGGGTTGGGATTCAAAGCGCTACTGTGTTCCCCTGTTGGCCTTTGTTCCTCAGGGCAGTATCTCCCACATTAGTTGAAAATGCTTTGGACTTCAAATAACAAAAAGACTAACAGCAGTTTGATAACCATTTTGGGGGTTTGCTTGAAAGGGAGTCCAGATATGGCCAATAGCTGTCTTACTTTCCCCTCCCACGTCATCAAGGACTTGGAGTCTTACCCCTCTGTAGTAGGCAGAGTAATGGCCCCTGAGTGCTGTGATTAAGGTTAAGGACTCTAACAGGAAAGATTACTCTTTCCTGGATTACCCAGGTGGGCCCAATTTAATCCTATCAATCCTTAAAAGTGAAAAAAACCTTTCTCAACTGCACAGGCCCAAAGAGGTAGGTGACTCTCGAAAAGCAATCTACCTGTTGGTGATTTTGAAGGTGAAGGGGACCATGAGACAAGGGATGAGAGTGACCTCTAGAGGCTAAAAGAGGCAGGGAACTGGTTTCTTCCCCGCAGCCTCCAGTGAAGAACACCGCTTTGACCTCCATCATGAGACCGCCCAGGACATGCTACCAGTGTCAAATGGCACATCCTAAACCTCAGGACTCAAAGGCAGGAAACCAGGGAAAGGGGTGGAGGGTGAGGCCTCTTTCTTTTTGTCCCTCAGGAAAAACTGTCCCTCAGTTTTCCCAGAAAACTGGCAGCCTTCCCCTCACATGTCTTGGACCCAGACTGGGTCATGTGGTCATCCCTAGCTGCAGGGGGTAGAGGGCTTTTCCAACCTCTGCGGTGGTGAGGGAGGGAGCAGAAAGAGGGACGGGCATAGCCTTGGGTAGCTGAAAGGACATCTGCCCTAACTCCCTTGGCAGGAACTCTGAGTCCCAGAGAAAGGCAGGCAGTAAGGTTCAAGCACCAAACTCCACCAAACCCTTACACATTCCATTTAGAATTCTGAGTAAAGAACTACTCTGTGAATTTTAGCCAACTGTTTGGCAAAGCCTGTCCTGTGCATAAATTTTTCTGGCTATGATGGCAAAGTAGAGCAAGATAATATGCCTGCATACAAGTTCCACGAGGGAGGAACCTGGTTTTAACTCATGCCCCATGGTCTCCCTGGCACAATATAGGACCTGACATATAGTAGATGCTCAATAAAACTTTTTAAATATTTTATTTATTTTTAGAGAGAGGGGAAGGGAAGGAGAAAGAAAGGGAGAGAAACATCAATGTGTGGTCCCCTCTCACACTCCCCCTACTGGGGACCTGGCCTGAAACCCAGACATGTGCCCTGACTGGGAATCGAACCAGTGACCCTTTGCTTAGCAGGCCAGAGCTCAATCCACTGAGTCATATCAGCCAGGGCTGATTTTTAACATTGAAGAGAGAACAATTCTATATTTGACATTCAAATTATCACTTGATCCTGAGCATACTATACTTCATACTGCTTTGATTTGACTTCCAGCTCTACCACTTAATCTGTCTGAGCCTCCATTTCTTCATTTATTAAATGGAAATACTCATGAAGTCAATAGATTAAATGAGTTAATATAGATAGACTGCCTGCTACCCAGTTGACCTTAATATATAGTAGCTTTATTATTACAGTCCCTGGAAACCCTACCCTGTTATGGGACAGAACTGTGCTGGATTAAAGACGCCTCCCAAGAAAAAAGTTATATACATTCCATTTACTCTTTCAGAAGACAGCGAAATGTTGACACTCTTAAGACTGATTCCTGTCCAAAAATGGTTAACATTGCTAAAATATTTTCATGGTAAAAGAGGTGTGCTTTAGTTGTCTGAAAAATTTAGTTACATGGAAAAGTTTTCTCTTTTTTTATGATACAGGTCACTTCTATTTTATTTTTTCTGGCTGAAAGTGCTTTAATATTTATTCAAAGTCAAAAGGAAAAAAAGAAGTCCAAGAACTACAAAAGAGGAGTTAAAGTGATTTATACTTCATTTCTAAATGCAACATATGTGTTTATACATAACTTAAAACTCGAAAAAAGCATGCTTATACAATCATGTGCAAATGTAAAATTTAATAACTCTGGATGCATACACGATGGAAACAGTCCATGACACCTGAAAACATCATTTGTGGAACATTATACAGTTCAGTCTCTCAGTGTGGATATTACAACCATATATCACAGAGCCTGGCGTGGTCTGAGTTTCTCCACGTGGTTGATAATGGTCTACAGTTGTTGGTAAGTGATTTTGCAAATTCATTTATAATCCTAGCCCTACAGTTACCTAAGTACTGTTTCTGGCAAATTAACTTAAATAGTATGCTCCAATCTCATACCTTCAAAGTTACTAATATAACTAACTGCCATGGGGGACCGTGTCAATACCACTTGTCACCACTAGGGTGATGGCCACCCCGACACTGGGGAGAACGCTACTTCTAGGAGAAGTTTGTTCTTACAGAGATGTGTGAACTGGTTTGACCTTAATGCCAGATGTGCCTCAGAAAAAGAAAAACCCCTTTCTTTCTCTTTTTAGGGGGTACTCCTGGTGGCACCGAGGCTGCGGGGGAGCAGTGGGCAAGCCCAACACCAGAGTCACACCTGGGCGAAACACTGCTTGGGTCTTTCCTAGCTGTGTGCCTTGGGCGAGCAACGTGACGTCTCCGAGCCCCTGCGATGCTGACAGTTGGGGAGAACAACGCCCCTTCCCCGGGCTGTGGCAACAGCATGACTTGATCGTGGATGTGAAACTGCACACCTGTCACAGAGGCAGGAGCTGAGGGACTGCTGAAAAGCTGGACAAATGAACAGCATGATTCACCTGCAGCAGCTGAAGGCACAGCTTACCTGTGCCCATGCGAAGAACTGGGAGAAAAATTCATTTGTTGCATTTTCGCCAGGTTGATGTTTGCAAACAGGGCACACTACTCCACATATATAAGCAACATTTCCCCAAAACCCGTCACAAGGAAGTTCTGCATCCTCTCCCATCCCCTCCTGGGGGGGATGTAGAACAGAATGTGCCATCTGCCAACCCGCAGATGCAAAGCGGCCAATAATTTGCACCAGTTTCACATCCCTGCTCTGCCTTCACTCCCACACCGGAAGCGGTGCCTCCCCCAGGCACCGGAACGGCGAGGGTGCGTGGTGTGCCGTCTGGGGGGCTGGACGAGTGCGCAGCGCCTCGCTGTGTTTCGGGCCAGAGGGAACATGTTCTGGGGCGAGGCCATGGGAAAAAGTCTGGTGAGCCAACACCTAGAGGACACAGCTGGGGAAATAAATTAGCTACTTCTATTGCACGTCTACCCGGAGAACAAGCCCGGAACTAAATCTCTTCTCCCTCTAGCAGCTCAGAGGTGGCATCAGGCTCCCTGAGAGCCATTTCCATCAACAGGCTCCTCTCCAGGTTCTCCAGCTCCTGGCGCACCTCGTCCATAAAGCCACCATCTCCATCGGGAACCTCTCTGAGTACCAGGCCCTCGCCGCCCTGGCCGCCCTCCCCATCCTCGCCGTCCTCGTCCTCGCCGTCCTCGCCGTGGCTCTCGCCGAAGGCTGGCTTGCACACGTACACCAGGCTGTGGCTGGGGAGAGACGGGGCTGTGGCTCAGCCTCGGGCCCTGTCTCCCCGTGGGGCCAAACCTGGGCTCTCAACACGGGAAGCCAGGTGTGAGACTGGGGCTCTACCTGGGGTGGCTGTGGGTGTGTCTCCGGGTCTCACCTTCACGACCCCTCCTCTAACATCTCTCCAACAGTCTTGACCTCCTGTCAACATCTTGCCTTAGCAAGGGTTGCTGAGGGTGGCTCACTTTTGGAGAAGGTAGTTGAGGAGCAGCTCCCCCCACCTCTAGGGGCAGGTCTGTCTTCCTGTGACCGACCCTCTCAGGCTCAGCATCCCCAGGGCTGGCCCCGAGGGCACGGGGTCTGAGAACGACAGCCTGCTGCCCATCGGGCCTCCAGGCAGGAGCAGCCCCAGACAGTAGGACAGGACCTCACCGCCTCATTGCTTGTGCCTATGGGGTGCCTGGGGCCTGTGGGGCAGGGACGGGTGCCATCGACCCAGCCGCCCTGGATTCTCTTGGGAGAGAAGGCTGAGGAGTCGCAGAGGGACTGGGAGATGGCCACACAGCCCTGGTGCTTCTTGGTCTCTCAGCAGCTTCCAACCATCACTGGTGCCCTCCACCTTGGGGGCCGACATTCCTGGTTTCCCTCCTACCTCTCTGACTGCGCCTTCTCAGCCACCTCTGCCAGCTCCTTCTCCACTTGTCCTTTGTCATAATGGGCTCCCCTCAGCCCTCACCGCTTCTCCCTCCACACCCTCTTCCCAGATGACCCACTCGGGAGGTTTCAACCACCATCTAGACGAGCCTCGCTCTGTGCCCCCGGCCCCACCTTCTCCTCAGCCCGCCTTACCAGTCTGACTGCTATTGAACCCCTGCGTCTGGAAAACCCAAGGAAACTTCGAATCAAACTTATCCTAAACTGAATCCACATTTTCCCCCTGCTCCTGCCCCTGAGTCCCCTCTGAGTGGCATCTCATCCCCGCTTGGCCCCTGACAAGGATAACAGGTGGGGCCTCACCTGTGAGGCTGGCAGAGGAGGCCACTGGCACACGGGCATCGGTCCCAAGCTCCGTCCGGCTCCAGCTCCCAGGTGATGAGGTCCAGGAGCCGGCTGGCAGGGTCATGGCAGAGGTCCCCCTCCACGGGCAGGGGTGTGCACACAGGGAACAACAGGCCTAGAACCAGCCAAAGTCATGCCCGTGCCCCAGCACCAAGGCAGGCACCAGGAGGGGGGAGCAGAGAAACGGGCTGCAGCCTCCCACTTTCCACCCTCAACCCCAATGTGGATGTTTGGATTGAAAAAGTGGAATGAGAGGAAACAAGAACGGCCATGTGGGCTCAAGAGAGAATGAGCTGGGAGGACTGGAGTAGTTAAGGAGGACTGCCTGGAAGAGGCGGGCATGTGCTGGATTTTGAGGCCAAAGGTCTGGAGAAATTAAGAATGTGAGAAAGGTGTTCAAGGCTGGGGCACAGCACCAACAACAGACTGCGGTTGGGCTCAGGCTGAGGCAGTGAGGATCCCAAACAGGCTGAGGAGGAGTGAAGACAGAAGGGGGGCAGGGCAGCTGGAGCTGGCCAAGGCTTGGAAGGTGGACTGGAGAGTCTAACTCAAGTGACAGATCAGGAGTGGCTACAGCCCCCAGAGGAGCGATAGCCAGAAAGCCATCCTTGAGGAAAACTGCAGGAACAGCAGGTACCAGGTGGACTGGAGGAGTGGGGTAGGTCGGCTAAGGGAGAGGTTTTCAGAAACACTTGTGGGAGGGGAGAGTGCCTGGGCTGACCTCACCCCGGAGGGGCAGTGAGCATGGGAGATGGGGAGAGACAGGGGCCAGCCAGTTCACGGGGAGCAGGACAGGAGCCAGGCGCTACCTCAGGCCTGGGGAGTGAGGTGGAGTGGGAGAGTGGAGCTTGGGACAGGGCTTATGCTGCACCGAAAAGGGAACCACTCACCTTTCTGGAAGGCACAGCACAGCCCAGGGTGGCAGTCCCTCTGGTTGTCACAGATGGTCCCGTTGCTACCTCTGGTGGCTGTTCTGCTGCAGTGACCCCAGACACAGAGCTGGTCTCCACAGCATTCACTGTCCCGGGTGCAGAGCTGGAGGTGAGAAGACGCAATAGCCTGTGACTCACAGGCCTGGGAGGGCCTGAAGACACTACAGGTGAGCTAACCCACGTCGTCCACTGCACAGAGGAGGAAACTGAGGTCCTAGGTCAGGGTGGGGGAGTGGCGGTTGTTGAAGCCATTGGAGCAGGGCTGGTAAGGGAGATGTGAAGGGTCAGAATACCGGGAAAATGGCACGGGGTAGAGGGGGTGCATGCATCTGAGTCTTCCTACACAGCTTGTGATTTTGCCTTTAAAAGATGTAGCCTGTCTCTGTGGTGCGCCCACAGACTTGTGCCCTGCCCCCTTCATATTAGGTCCCCAGGTGAGGAAGGAAGGTGGCTCAGGGCGCCAGATGCAGGCAGCAATGTGATTCTTGTAAGCTGATTGCATGAGCCCAGGAAGGCCACAGGAACAGTCAGGCACATGGGAGTCACATGTGGGGAGTGGTAATTAGAGAGCAAAGCGGGTTCCCCACGGCTGTGCTCAGTGAAGGCCCCCAGCAGGACAGGCTGGGCGGGACAACTGCGGCTCCAAACCGTGCACGGGGCTGGGTTGGGTAGTAGTAAGAAGCACTCTATTTTCCAAACATGTGACTGTCTTGATGAAAAAGGTCAAGAAAAGTCTGAGGCCATATGGCTGTTTCCAAACAGCTGCTGTGTGGAGGGAGAGTCTCTGCTCCCCTGGTTCCTGCTTCTCTGAAAGTCCCTGTCACGGAAGTGTTCTGGCTTCTTCCTGGCTCCCCTGCCCTCTCCGATAGGGCAGGTGGGAGGAAGATCTGGCCAGTGGGCTGCCCTTTCCCTGCCCAGGGGCTGCTGTGGTGTCGCTGGCTGTTTCTATGGGATGGGCCTTCCCAGGGGAAGGTGTGGAGCCTCCCCCTGCCATCCCTGCGGCAGCAGGTTCTGCAGACGGCCTCCTGGTCACTGCAGGAGACAGCCCCAAGGGCGGCGGTCACAGACAGGTTCTTCCGAGAGAGTAGGGACGTGGTGGGGCTCCATGGGAAGCCTCCAGGAGGCCGGGCTGAGAATGTGGAGCAGGCTGCTGGCCTGCTCCCCCAGGGCTCTTTGCTGGGGCCCCCTGGCCCTGGAGCTGAGCCCCGAGGCCTCTGGACACACTCACCGTCTGCTGGTCCCGGCATGGCTGGCAAGTGTACTGGAAGCTGGCAAACTGGCAGTACCTGCGGGGCCCGCAGTCCTCGTCAATGATGCACTCCTGGGAGCAGGGGAGGGGGCAGCTTCGTCAGGAAAGGCAGGTCAGCAGCCCACCATGCCCCGCAAAAGGGCAGAGCCCCATTTATCCCCTGCCTCCACATCCCCAGGCTCAGGACTCAGAAAGAGACGCCCTCCCCGCAGCCCTGACTGGCTCGGTCCCCTCACTCCCCAGCATCCACTCCCCCAGGCAGGCAGGGCCTCACCCACACGGTGTGTCTAGGCTTCTGCCCTCTGGGATGCCGCACCCAGTTCACACAATCGCCTCTGTGTGCAGCCTCCCCCCACACGCAGGGTGGGAAGCACGGAGACCCAGGGCCGGTCTCTAGCACAGAGCAGATGGATTTAATAAAAAGAGCTAATGAGCTCCAGACCTTGAGTGGCTGCACGGGAGGGGCTGTGGTTCAGCGGGGCCTTGCTGACTGAGAAGGAAAAGGGTGGCCACAGGGAGCGCACCTCAGGGTACTGAGTCTGAGTGATACCCAAAGGCAGCTGCCGGCTTCCAAAAGGGCGGTGGGCGTGGCTGGCATTCCACCAGCCCAGGTGCTTTCTCCTGGATGCTGACCCCACTTGGCTGGAGAAATGGGAGAGGGAAGGAAGGAAGGGAATCTGTCCACCACCCAGGTCCAGAGAGAGAGGTCACCGAAGGGTCACCGGCGGGAGCAGGGCTACATCAGCTCAGACCTAGGAACTGGCAGCTGCCAGGAAAGAAGGGCAGGAGAGGCGGAGAGGCCATGACAAGGACCACAGTCCTGATGCCCCGGTGACTCTTCCAGCAGGCAGCTGCCGGACTGATTGTTCTTGTGCTGCATACCGAAAACGGAGGCTCAGAGAGGCCAACAAGCCTCCCACCCCAGGATAGTGCAGTTAGTTCAGGGTAGGGGGGCTCTTTTCACCGCTGGCCCCTGGGAGAAGGGGCCCAGGGCTCCAGATGCAGCTGTCAGAGGCTTGCGGATGAGAAAGACTCTCCTGAGGTGGGATTCCAGGGCCCTAGCAAACCTTACAGAAGGTTCTAGAGGGAGGGAGGGACCCACCTCCCGGCTCTGACCAGGGCATGCTCCATCCTGAAAGCAGGTGTGGGGCTGGACCTGGGAAGACCTGCACGGGCAGGCCCTGGCCTGTGGTCCAGACTAGTCCCCACTCTGCTCTGTGAACTGGGGCAGCTGTGCACATGGGGGCAGACAGGGAGACTTCCAACAGAGCCTGCTGGGGCGCCTGGGGGCCAGCACATGTGGGCAGGCTGGGGGTCAGCAGGGAGGCCCTGGCCAGGCAGCTTAGGAGCTCATGAGCTCAGTCATTGGGAAGTGCTAGTGTCCCCGGTCCAGGTCTGGGTGTGCTCCAGCCAGCACTACAGGCCTGAGAGGGCAGGCATTTGGTCTGGGGCGGCTGCAGGCTTGGCTTCTGCAACACCAGCCCTGGTACCAACCCCCAGCTGGGCACACCTCAGACAGAGGGTCCCACTCTGCTCACCAAGTGTCTGTCCCACTGGACACCAGCTTCCCACAGCCCCCTCTGAAGGATGATGGGAAGAGGCCAGCTTGGAGACAGCGGTACAACCCACCACTCTGCACCAGGGGCTCCAGGAGAAACCAGGGCTGACCCCCAGCATCGCTGAAAAGCAATTTAAATCTTTCCTGGAAGTTCTTTTAAAACGTCAAAGGACAGCATGTTGCCTGATGCTCTACAAAACGACCAAAATTGCTCTTCTCTGTGTCTCCCCAGAGTCTGACTCATATCAGCCCACTGATCACCGTGGCAAGCAGGGTCCTCCCTCTGGAAAGAGTGGTGCTTGTCCCGGTCCCCATGCCAACAGCCCTAAAATGTCCAAATGCCACCATCACTGCTTTCACATGGGAGAAAACCAAGGCTCAGTGGTGGGGGGCAGGGGTTGGTGAGAGGGCTGGCCGAGTCAGAGGCTGAGCCGGGGGCGGGCTGTGGGGGCCCATGGGGCCTGAACGCGCTGGGCTGTAAGCGAACCACAAGACGAGCTTTGTCTCAGCCGCCATGCTGTCCTAGGCACAGACTCGACTCTGCCAGTTCAGCTGGAAGCGCCCTGGCCTTTCTTTCCAAGCAGAATAGCACCAGAATGGGGTGAGGGGGAGGGAGGGGGGACCCGGGCCCACAGGCGTTGAGTCTCTTCTCTGAACCCAGTCACAGTCTGAAGCACTGGGGCGAAGATGAGAAAGTCCTTGCCCTCAAGGAATTTATAGTTCTTTTTTTTTTTAAAGGCAACTCAGTAGAAAAGCAGACAGAGGGTATAAACAGACAACTCCCAGGAACAGAAATTGCTTTTCTTCTCCACACAGAAAAAGATGTTTGACCTCACCAATAACCAAGAAAATACAACTTAAAAGAGCAGCAGCATACTATGTTTTCACTTAAACGAAAACAGTTCGAAAGGTTGACAATATCTGTGGTAGGCAGAATGCCACCGCCACCCCCCCACCCCGCAAATGTCCACTCCTACTCCCTAGAACCTGCAGACAGGCCGTGCCACATGGCAAACAGACAGAAAGCCACAGATAGACTGAGACTGCTGATCAGCTGACCTGACGATAAGGAGAGGATCCTGGCTTATCCAGGTGTGCCCCATGTAGTCCTAAGGGGCTGTGAAGATAGAACAGGGGCAGAAACAGAGGTGGGGCAACGCCACGCGGGAAAGACGCCGCCAGTCACCCGGACTGCACTGGCGGTGCAGTGGAGAGCCACGGCCGGCCGGGGACAGAATCCCCTCCCCTGGAGCCTCCGGAAGGAGTGCAGCTGGGCTGACACTTTGATTTCCGTCCGGTGAGATTCCCACCGGACTTCTGACTAACAGAGCTGTAAGTTAGTAAGTTTGTGCTATTTTTAAACCGCCAAATGTATGGTAAACTGTCACAGTAGCAATAGGAAACTACTGTAATGTCCAGTGTTGGTAAGGATTTGAGGAAAGGGACAGAACCAGACACTTCAGGGGCATTGAAAAGGAGCTGGATGTTTTTTGCAGGCGATTCATCAGAATCGACCAAAATGTGAATGCATGTACACTGTAACCCAGTTTCCCTTCCAGGTGATCATCCTCAGACACGCTTGTCCACATGTACAAATATCTGAGTACAGGGGTGCTTGAGGCTGCATTGTCACATTCCTTCTAATCCAGAAGTAATGGAAATGCCCAGCAAGGGGGGCTGATTAAATTGCTGCACAGTTGTGTCCCGGGGAAATGCCACCAGGAAGACAAGAACAAGAAGGGGGCTGTTCTTCGCATTGTGACGTTCACATTGGTAAATAAAAGCAAGTGGAAAAACCATGAAATCCCGAGTTTGTAAAGCAGAGCAACAGCATGTATGATGCATGCTGGTGCCCGGCACAGAGCCTGGCACACGGGCATACACAGCAGGTGTGTGTTGAATGGAGACAATCACTCGAACGTTAGTTACCGCGGCAAACAGGCTAACAAAATGCTGCTGCTCATCTGCTGTGATTCAAGAACCAAAGCAAAAAACACACAGATACCGTTAATTTGATTTCTCATTTCCCAGGAATCCTGTTGACTTAGAATTTTCACTGTATGCTTCCTCTTCCAGATCTTTTTCTTTTTTAAACATTTTATTTATTTATTTATTTATTTATTTATTTATTTATTTATTTATTTCTAGAGAGAGGGGAAGGGAAGGAGAAAGAAAGGGAGAGAAACATCAGTGTGTGGTTGCCTCTCACGCACCCACAGCTGGGGATCTGGCCTGAAACCCAGGCATGTGCCCTGACTGGGAATCGAACCAGGGACCCTTTGGTTTGAAGGCTCAATCCATTGAGCCACACCAGCCAGGGCCTCTTCCTGATCTGTAATTTAAAAAAATATGAGCTAAGACTTTCTAGTACCAATCTCTGTGAGACCCTGCTGTTTACAATTCCCCGTAAGAAAAGTACACATTCATCCTTAGGAACATTTTTCTTCCCCTAAACTGGTTCCGATGCATGACAAAGCATTCCCTGCAAAGCCACTGTGAAGCAATTAACTTTTTTCCTAGGTATGGAAAATATTTTGGCATGGAACCATGCTAAAGACTTTTGAAACATGGAAGTACATCCACTAAAGCTACTGGTTTCTTTTGCTGACAGTTTGTGCTACTACCAGAGGCCTGGCAGGTGAGTTCAGCGTGACCTACCCTCGAGAAAGTCCGGTGCGTTTGTTCTAACAGTCTGCCAGCTTGGTGACAGTGGATGCGCATTCCCCGCAGCTCTTACGAAAGGTCTTTAAGAACTGTGATCATACTGAAAAACTTGGAACTCCAAAGCGTGAACCTTAGAGGCTGAAAGAGCCCAAACTTTGACCCCCAGTTTTGCTACTTAATAGCTGCATGACCTAGTCCTCCAGGGAGCACCCCTGCCAGGGGACCAGCTGGGTGGCAGAAAGGCAGGTCCACACAGAGGCTAACATTTCCACCAGTGACTTGCCATCTCTTTCCCTGTCAACACTTGGGGCTGTCACATTGAGCCCTGACCCATCTGTGTGCACAGCACGTCTGGGTGCAGCAGTCTGTGTGCCCATAGGAGTAAAGTTCCTGGGGCAGAGTGGCCTCTCGTTGGATGCTGACCAGGCTTCCCACATGGTAAGGTGGTTAGTTTGGGGTGTCTCCTGGGGTGTCTCCTGTCCCTTACTGGTTGGGGCAGGATCCCACCTGTCCTGGTGTCAGGGACTTGGGAAACAGGTCAGGTCCACCCCCATTAAACAGAACTTAGTAGGTGGGAGGGGTGGACATGGGTGGGCTCCCCCTGACCTCACCCCACCCCCAAGCAGAGCCAGGCCCAGAGCTGAGAAATCCAGGATTTTTTTTTCCATAATTCTGGTTTCTCTTACCTGTGCTTGAGGGTTAAATATGCACACGTGGGCCAATATTTTAAAGGAGCCTCAGTAACACTGGGCACAGGGCGTCTGGGGAGGTGAGCTACAAAGTGAGAGGCTGTGGAGGCCCTGGGTTTGGGGCACCGCTCCAACCATCAGGACTGGAGGAGGGACTCTGT